TTTTTTTCTTCGTAACTACTCCTGCCTATCCTGTCGGTTCCAGCACACAACTCCGCTTCGCTATATCCGGGAGAAGTCCCACGCGAACACAACAATACACGGTGGTTTGGCATCATGATTGAAGGTCTATAGAGTCTGTCACGAGTGTCAAACTCTAGGGATAAGAGGCCATTATGGAGGGACTTTTCACATTGCTCGTCCTGAGCATTGTGATGGCAATTACGTGAGTTGCCAAAATCCTGGATCTTCATGCGGCATGGAAATGGTGAACTAACAGATCTCTCTGCTTATAGATCCTTTGTTGTCGGCTCATTACCTCTGGCATTTGCGCTTTCCGCTTCTCAATTGCGATTAATATCCTCGCTTGGCATGGGAGTTTTGGTTGGAACATCATTGATAGTGATCATTCCCGAAGGGGTCGACACCCTTTACAGTGCGAGATTGCACAGTGGCCAGAAAGACATCAGTGCTCGGGGTGCAGGGGTGGATTGGCAACAGGAGGCTCCAGTCGTGGCTGCGACGGTTGATTCGCAACCAGAGAATTACATTATTCCTCGTTCATCCCTCACATTACCGGGACTATCCTCTGCACCGGAAGGTGCGGTGTATGTTACACACAACAACGAGCATCGCGGTCTGCATGGAAGGAAGGAGGATACATCTCAGGACAAGGCAGATGAAGATCACGACGAAGAGAGCTCGCCCCATGCTTGGATTGGTGTTGCCCTCGTCAGCGGCTTCATCTTGATGTACATGATCGACAAACTGCCCGAATTCGCGTCTACTTCAAAGCAACAGAGGCCACCGTATCACATCTCTTTGGACAATTTGGGGTCGGGATTGCGGCGAACGTCTTCGCCTTCACGGGAGGGTGGATTACTGGACGCCGCAACTTCTCCCAGACGCAGTCACAGTTTCGCAACCACCACCGGTCTCGTCATCCATGCAGCTGCTGATGGAATTGCGCTGGGGGCGTCGACCTCGGACACGGGGCTGAGCTTTATTATTTTCCTGGCGATTATGGTTCACAAGGCACCTGCGTCGTTTGGGCTTACATCTATATTGCTAAAGCAAGGGCTTTCCAGCCGTGCTGCGAGAGCACATTTGTTGGTTTTCAGCCTGGCAGCCCCCATGGGTGCCCTTGCGACCTTTTTGTTTGTGCACCTGATGGGCTCAGGAACCAGTGGGGATACAACTGGCACCCAATGGCGGACTGGGATGCTGCTTCTCTTTTCCGGTGGTACATTCTTGTAAGTTTCCCAACGCCCTTTTACCAGTGGTCTAGCGGCTAATGAGATGTAGGTATGTTGCAATGCATACGATGCAGGAGAACAGCCCGAACTCTTCGTCGCGCGAGGTGCACGTTAATGGATACGGAGACCCGAGGGATATTCCGCTCAAATCAGACAAGTCGATGAGAGACTTAATCGCATCTGTCGTTGGCATGATCTTGCCGTTGTTCCTTCAGATCGGCCATGCTCACTGACATTCTTGCTTCTTTTTTTTCTCTTGAAAACTTTTTTTTTGCCTAGTTCTTTTCTGTGCCCTTTTTTTTTTTAATGGCTTATTACCTCTTTTTGTTTAGATACCGGAGTCTAGCTTGGTTTTATATCCACGATGTTCTACAGAGGAGAGAACTATTGCAAAGCATGTGCTTTTTTGTTGTATTTGGGAGAATAAAATTTTGTTGTATATCTGAAAGCCACCGAGTGATGATGAAACACTTCGTCAGTCTCGAATCATCGATCGGGGACCAACTGGTGATCCATGGTCCAACCCGGCATCTCGAGAAATCAAACCCAGGGTCTCGGGGCAAAGTGTATCTGCCGTGGAAAGATCCGGGTTGAATTATCCTTTGCGCCGGAGTCGACTGTATACGGGGTGGTGGTTGATTCTGAAGCCGACTGTATTACTCTATATACGGAGTAGAATCGGGGTGAAGGAGCTTGAAATGAAAAATGTGATCAATATCCTCTTATTAAAAAAGAGGCAACTGTATGCATCTTGCCTCTTGACGAAAGACATTGCCTTTGCCTTCTTGATGGCCTCTGTAGCGACGCGCCACAGCTTTAGTGTGGTTTAGTGGGAGAAGAATAATGTACGGAGTAGCATATTTGCTTTTTTCTTTCACTGACAGGTCAGAAGAAAACAGTGAATGAAAATGGCCATATAAATGGTGTGCTTGTAAATGGTGTTGTTAAAGTACTATCACTTCCTACGGCCCCGTGCTGGCACCTGACCTCCCCTCTCGTGATCGAGACTCTGCCCTGTATTGCTCTTACTACTACTGCCGCTACGGCTACTACTCTCTCGGCCCTCGACCGGCTTCTCTGTCCTTTCACTCTACCCTCTTGTCTTTTTTCTTTTTTTCTTTTTATAATTCCTTCTCTCTTTCTCAGATTCTATACCGTCCTCTTTCCCGTTATAATCCTCATCGTGTTTTCCACCTTGTCAACCTCCCCCTGACCATTCGTTTCTCGCCCGACCGTCCCGACTACCTCGAAGACTGCATCCCGACAACCCGCCTCCCCGGACAGCATTCCTCGCTCTTACCCCCCTCTCCCTCCTTGGTTTCTGTGTTATACTTCTCTATGACTGAGATCAAACCCTGAAAGGGTTGTGTGAGGTTATTTCGATAAACCTTAAAAAAAGGTTGGGCGGTGGTTCTACTTCTTTACCAGTCCTTTGGGCACTCGGACTCGCAAAAGACCAACCAGCCTTTCCGACGTCACAGCATTCCATAGATCTGTTTCTTCAGCATTTGCCCGCTGATCCCGGTCAGTCAGTGAGATGCATCCCCTGAGTGTGTCTGAGCAGTTTGTGACTGCGCAACCCCGATCTTCTGCAGGCAGGGATTCGGTATCCGGTCTGTCGAGGCCCGTGGCGCCGTCCAGCAGCGGCGGCAGTGACCACCACCACAACCACAGCAGTCGAAACAAGACCGTTACTTCGATCCCTCCAAACCTCCTACCATCCGCTCCGGCATCGCCTCCTACACCTGCGCCTAGTCCGACGCCTCATCAGCGACCCCTAAACTGGCAGTCATCTGCTGCTGCTGATGATGATGAAGATGACGCGTTTCTGGTTAATGCTCGCATGCATTTCTCCTCCCTGCCGAATGCGAAAAGACAAAAATTCTTGATGGGCATATTGGGTCTCTGCGATAGCAAACAACTCAGTTTTGTTTCGAGCTTTGTCAGCCCGCGATTGAGGAAGGATCCGTTTATGGTGTTTCCGAATGAATTGTGCTTAAGGGTAAGGCTGTTCTTTAGGACTCGGATATTCAGGGGCGCTGACTTTGGTTTTTCTTCCTTGTGCCTAGGTACTCTCCTTCATCGATGATCCTCAGACCCTCGCAAGGGCATCCCAAGTATCGAGACACTGGCGGGAATTGTTGAGTGATGACATCACATGGAAGAACCTTTGTGAAAAGCATGCATATATGTACCGGCGATTTTCCGAAGATGGCCAAAGCTTTGTCGACCCTTTTCATAGCCAGCCCCTACAGACGGCTTCGAAAGCACGCTCGTTCAACGGGCTGCGAGAAAGACCTAGCTTGTCTGATACTTCTCGTGATTTGTCCCGCACGCTCTCCGGAAATTGGCCTGTGACATCCTTGTCGAGTAGCGCTCCGTCTCGAAAGCGCCGTCCCCGTCCAGCGTCCTACCGGTCTCACTTCAAACAAAAGTACATGGTTGAGTCTGCGTGGAATAAAGGCGGGAGATGTACGCAACATGTTACGCTCGATCTAGGTGTAGTCACGACCCTACACTTGACGCCAAAATATATTATCTTCGCCATGGATAACGCTAAGATCCATGTGTACGATACCAACGGAAACAACCATAGAACCCTACAGGGCCACGTGATGGGTGTATGGACGATGGTTCCATGGGATGACATTCTGGTTAGCGGCGGTTGTGACCGCGAAGTTAGAGTTTGGAACATGGCAACCGGGTAAGGCAGAAACATGGGAGACTTTAGCGGAAGGGATATGACTAACGTAACCGATTTTCGATCCAGGGAGAGCCTTCATTTACTACGTGGCCATACATCGACCGTTCGTTGCTTACAGATGTCGGATTCGAAGACAGCAATCTCGGGGTCTAGAGATTCGACGCTGCGGATATGGGATCTAGCGACGGGTACATGCCGGAATGTCCTGGTTGGCCATCAGGCTAGTGTCCGCTGTCTTGCGATTCATGGGGATACTGTTGTTTCTGGAAGCTACGATACGACTGCGAGGGTTTGGAGCATTTCCGAAGGGCGATGCCAGCGTACCCTGACCGGCCATTTTAGTCAGATCTACGCAATTGCTTTTGACGGAAAGCGGATCGCAACGGGAAGTCTTGACACGAGTGTTCGCGTATGGGACCCGCACACAGGCCAGTGCCATGCCATCCTACAGGGGCATACATCTTTGGTTGGGCAGTTGCAGATGCAGGGCGATACACTGGTGACTGGAGGTTCTGACGGCTCAATTCGGGTTTGGTCATTAACTAAGATGGCCCCTATCCATCGCTTGGCCGCTCACGACAACAGCGTGACGAGTCTTCAATTCGATAGCAACCGTATTGTGAGTGGTGGTAGCGATGGCCGAGTACGGATTTGGAGTCTGGAAACCAGTCAGTTGCTACGTGAACTATCTGCGCCTGCACAGGATGTCTGGCGCATTGCGTTTGAAGAGGACAGGGCTGTTATCATGATGAACCGAGGTGGTCGCACTGTGATGGAGGTACGTTTTCTAACCATTGATGTGGGGTTGCAGACGGATAGCTGATGGTGATTCTAGATTTGGACATTCTCGCCGCCTCCGGAGGACAGTGGGAAAGATTCCGTGATTGTCGAAAGCGCCTCTAGTACGCCAGGTATCTGTTCGTCGTCGATCGGCAATGATGACGGGCTTGTAGAGAGCACGAACAGGCAGAGAACGCTTTACTCGGCACCTCCACCTGACGTGGCCCTGAACAGCGATGACGACCAAATGATGCCCGACGCACCATGATAGATATGCTTTATCCCCATCATTTGCCTTCGGAGTCGGACGCCTTCGGCAGATTTCTCCTCTTGTTCTACACAACAACTATCTAATGATTTCAGACGAGTGCTCAACGTTCAAGCGCCTAGGTCTGTCAAACATCAGCGGATCCCTTCAGGAGCTGGTACTCATTCATATAATGCGTTTCTTAGCCATGGCGTGGCGTCTTCGCGTGCATGCAATCATCAAATTGCGGAGTTAGATTGGACGGTGGGCGTGTTTCATTCAACTTGACGACTCTATTACTTCTTTTCTTTTTTACACCTTTTTCGAATAGCGGATCTTCTTGGACTTGAAGGTTCGATGATACCCACCTATGGAGGTGATACGATATACTTTATTTTTGCCATCTGGGATGTTTATTTGTATTTTTCGTCTTTGGTATTCTGCAGGTGGTGGGTTTCATGGTGCATGTTGTTTAGCAATGATTGCATATTACGGATATTTACTTGCGTCTTTACCATGCTATTTTGTAGTAGTTGTTGATAAAGAGTATATCAATCAATCTTGCAGATCTCTGACCTTGTATCAATAGACATTGCAAGGGTGTCTGGCACCGGACCGGCAATGCACATCTCCCAGTCATCTATTGCCGTCCACCTGGTGTAATGGAAAATATATAGCGAGCTATACAATGGACACACTACCCACCCTGCAATAACAGCCGCAGCTGGCCAACTGAGTACGGATACCCTCGTGCAAACACAGCATCACCTGCCGTGCACCGTCGTTCCACTGTTACAGCGCCCTATAAGGTCGGATAGCGGGGATCCCATCGCTATCAATTACGCAGATGCAGATGCTGGGAGACCTGCATTGCGATCGTATGCCAGTCTGTTGGTAGCTATTAAATAGTAATATAAAGGTGCAAATCCCGCCATCCTTGATCCTCGTGGGTTGTTACCGGCAGACGCGGCCATGAATGTGAATGCACGGTTATACCACCATCTGCCCAGCATTGAAGCCCACCTTGGAGAATGTTAGGCCAGGCTTGCGATAAAGGCATGTTTCACCACTGCAGTCAGGTTTAGAACCGGATATGAGAAGATCTCGCAACTGTGGGTTTGAGGTGATCGTCTAGTTGCCAATCCAGACTAGCCAAACGCGAATGTGATCTCAGATTTATCGACACGTCCATACCAATTTTCCGATGGCCCTAAGGGAGACTACTAGGACGCGGGAGAACTCCGGGAAAATTATATATGCTCAAAGTTTCCCGACCCAACACCTGTACACCGACAGCCAGACAAGCTTTCTCTGCCGTGGCGTATCGGATACGACGCCGTGACTGACTAGAACATCACCTCCGATGGCCGATCGGCTGCTAGATCTCGCTGGCCAGAGTAAAGTACTACTATGCAGTCTGGACTGGGTCGCAAGATTGCATAATGGCCGCTCTGCTTCTGCATAAGTTTGCTTCTGAGTTTACAAGATCTTGTTCGCGGACAGTTGGCGTGTCGCTGACATGTTAGGGATGCAAGGTCGATCCATGCAGAGTATGTAAACATTATTGATTATCAGCGCCCATGGTTTGTTGTAAAGGAATATCTGGCATTATCCTTGTTTTTCTCTCCCTTGCAGGTTACTTACTGATAACACCAGTCTATTGTATCAAGAGAAGACAGGCTGAGATTCCACTAATTCGGAAGTTCGTTGCCGATATTCAATACACAATCTATTCGGTGATTATTCTGCATTCCAAACCGAGGTTCAACTCGGCTTTTTTTTTTTTTTTTTGGTGAAACGTCAACATCAGCTTTGTCGTTTCCCACTTTTTCTTATTCTGAGTTTCCCCTCTGTCAATCTTCCCAATTATTAAGATTTTTTACCGCGATCGAGTGAACTTATTGTATCGGACGGTGCATGTCCTTCGGAGTAGAGCATCAACCTGACATACGCCCAGTTATCATAGACATGACAACAAAGCCTACGGGCGAGGCACCCGGGCCCTCCAAAATCCCCTTCTGGCGCACAGTCTGGGACCAAAAGATCCTGACCGACGAGGTCACCAACTTCCCCTACGATGGATCCGGCACACCAGAGGATCCATATGCCATCTCTTGGATCCCCCAGGACCCGCGCAACCCCATGAACTGGGGGTACGTTAAGAAATGGTCCATCACGTTCCTGGCTTCTTTCATCACGCTGGCGGTGTCGCTGGTGTCGTCTGCGTACTCGGGAGGCATCTCCCAGATCGTGACGGATTTCAATGCATCGGAGGAAATCGCCATCTTGGGTGTGTCGTTGTTTGTTCTGGGGTTTGCTTTCGGGCCTCTTATTTGGGCGCCGTTAAGTGAGACTTTTGGGAGGAGGAATATCTTTATCATGACTTATGGGTTAATGACGGCGTTTAATGCTGGTGCTTGTGGTTCGCAGAACATTCAGACATTGATTATTCTGCGCTTTTTTGGTGGTTTCTTTGGTTCTTCGCCATTTGGGAACTCTGGTGGAACTATTGCGGACATGTTCGCGTCGTCGGAACGGGGGATTGCGGTTAGCATGTATTCTGCAGCGCCGTTTTTGGGTCCCTGCTTGGGTATGCTTTCAAAGACTCCACGTTAGAGGTGAAGACGTTGCTGATATAGATCAGGTCCCATCATTGGAGGTTTCCTTGGTGAAGCAGCTGGCTGGCGCTGGGTTCTAGGCCTGTTGGCAGCATTTACGGGCGTTATATGGCTGGTCATTACCTTCTGCTTGCCCGAGACATATGCGCCCGTCCTGCTGCGCCGGCGAGCTGAGAAGCTCTCTGAGGTAACCGGCAAAGTCTACCAGAGCCGACTCGATATCGACCGAGGTGGCGTGTCGACGCTTCAGATGTTGAAGACATCGCTCTCGCGGCCATGGATTTTGCTGTTCCGTGAGCCCATCGTGCTCTTGTCCAGCATCTACATGGCCATCATCTATGGTACCCTGTATATGTTGTTCGCCGCCTATCCAATCGTCTTCCAAGAAGTCCGTGGCTGGAGTCAAGGGATCGGGGGGTTGGCTTTCGTTGGCGTCCTGGTGGGGATGATGATTGCGTTCACTTATACCCTTATCGATAACTTGAAGTACATGAAGCTAGCGCATAAGACGACAGGACGTCTTCCTCCGGAGATGCGTCTGCCAATCGGTATTGTGGGGGCCATTTCCCTACCAATCGGGCTGTTCTGGTTCGCCTGGACTAACTCTCCGTCTATCCACTGGCTGTGTTCCGTCGCAGCTGGAGCTCCGTTTGGATTCGGTATGGTTTTGGTATTCCTGGGAGTCATGAACTATCTGGTGGACTCATACACGATCTTTGCTGCCTCTGTCCTGGCAGCCAATTCAGCTCTGCGATCACTTTTCGGCGCTATCTTTCCCCTTTTTACCACCTACATGTACCACAACCTGGGCATCCATTGGGCAACGTGCATCCCAGCCTTCCTTGCTGTGGCCTGTATTCCTTTCCCGATTATCTTCTACTTCTACGGCCCCCGCATCCGCAAGCGCTGCACCTATGCCGCCGAAGCCGACGCCTTCATGCAACGACTCACAATGAAGCACCTAGCCGAAGCGCCGCACGACGAACCAGCCAACGAGAAGAGCGCTGCATCGAATGATGCTGAGAATAACGCTGGCAGTGGCAGTGACAGCGACAGTGATGTCGCTGCGAGTCTCTCGACCGTGCCCTCTTCGCGACGGATGACGAGGAGTAGGGCGGGTTCCCATGCGTCGCGACAGACTATTGCTACGCAATATGAAGAGAATCCGTATAATATTGATCGGGTGAACACGCGGCATTCAGCTATTAGTGGTCATCGTGCGAAGATTTGATTTTTTTTTTTTTTTTTTTTTTTTTTTGTGGTTTGGCATAAGCTTAGTCTCGTTGAACTCATCGTGGTTCTAAACCACGACCATGCATCAGCACCGGCCAGGTTGGTTGATCTATAACCTGCTTTGGGTGAATCATCCCGTCAGTTGACGACGAAGACCATGGTCGAAGTCTACAGCGTTGATCGACTCAAAATCTTGGGTATCAGGGATAGAAAAAAGTGTATATAGATAGGGCAAGGTGGGATCCTTGTACATACATTTCTGCATAGACAATAGTGCATAATATTAATGTGAACAGGCATGAACAGATATTCACTCTCAGGTGGATTGAACTGGTTTTTCACTGCCTTCCCTTTGTTGTGGTTATCATTCCCAAAACAATTTTTCACTCCCACCTCCATCGTTGTTGCCCTCCTCACCTTCCCTTTCTTTCTCTCCTCCAACCATGCAAACATGCCCACCATCCTCTTTCTCACCAACAGCGAACTAGGCCAGGCCTCTGTCTGTCTAGCCGTCGCCCACGAATTCCTCCTCCGCCCAACCTACACCATCCACATCGCCTCCTTCGCCTCCCTCCGCGTCTCCATCTCCCAACTCAATCTCCGCGCCATCTCCTTCCTCCCCGTTTCCTCGCGCTCCGCCCGAGTCCGCCCAGCAACCTTCCACATCCTTCCGGGCCCCTCCATGAAACAAGCCCTGGAACAACGCCACAACTTCAACGCCAGCAAGGCCTTCAAACTTCACGGACTGGGCTTCCAGGCTGCGTGCCAGGCGTACAAGGATGTGTTGGCGAAGATGGTCGCGCCGTGGAGTGGGGAGGAATATGTTGCGATATATGCTGGGTGTGTGGATGTGATTGAGAGAGTTGGTCCGCAGTTGGTTGTAGTTGATCCGTTGTTTGGACCAGGGTTGGATGCGGTGCGGTCGATTGGGAGGAGGTTTGTGGTGCTGAGTCCGAATACGTTTAGGGAACATGTTGCGCAGCCGAAGTTAGCGGGGTTGTGGAAGTTTCCTATGTATATTTTCTCTTCTTGACATATGTGTGGATGGGCGTTGAGTTGACTGTGTGATGGCAGGTTGTGCTCGGGATATCCTTATCCGCTGCCGTGGAGCTTGATGCTTCCTAATGCTATTCTTGGTTTGCGCTTGCTGGCCGCGGTCAAGTCTAGTCCTCAACTGAAGCAGGTCGAGAGAGCGCGCAAGCGCCACGGTATTAAGCACGCCATTCCCGATATGTTTGTCAATCCGGATGACAAGAAAGTTCTCGCCGTTCTTCTCCCTGGTCATGTTGAGTGTGAATTGCCCTGTTTCCTGCCTGGCAAATTTACTCATTGCGGGCCGATATTGCGACCCTACGCCCCTATCTGCGACGAGCATCCGGATCTGGCGCATTGGCTTGCTCAGAGGCCGACTGTTCTTGTTAGTCTGGGCTCGCTTGTGGTGTTCACCCCATCTATGGAGAGACAGTTTGCGAGGGGATTGAAGATGTTGTTGGAGACGAGGCCAGACATGCAGGTCCTTTGGAAACTACCACGTGCTGAGCCGCAGAGCACCGCGCAAGAGGAGACGTTGGAGTGTTTGTCTTCAGATATCGGCGAAGGACGCGTGCGCACGATGCCTTGGTTGCCCGTGGAACCTATCTGCATCCTACAGAGCGGACGTGTGGAATGTATCGTGCACCACGGTGGCGCCAATACCTTCTACGAAGCCATCAAAGCCGGCGTCCCCCAAGTTGTCCTCCCCATCTGGTTAGACACATACGACTTTGCCCACCGTGTCGAATACCTAGGCGTCGGAGTCTGGGGAAACCGCCAGAGCGCACCTGCTGTAAAAGGCTACGAACTCGGACAGACGCTGAAACGTATGCTGGCCAGTGTGCTGAAGATCAAAGTGCAGCGGCGCGCGCGGGAGGTTGCGTCTGAGTTGAATGGTAAAGAGGGTCGTGTTGTGGCGTGTGAGAAGATTATAGAGTTTGTAAAGCCGAGGCATACCTGGACGATTAATTTTCGGCGGACGGGGGAGACTTACCCTGGGCCTTTCTGAGGTACCTTTTACGTGATTGTTGTTCGAGTTGATTGTGGTGGTTTGAGGGCGGAGAATTGAAGGAGTGTTTACTCGTACAGTGTATTGTGCTAATGCTTAATTGTTAATACGCAGAGCTTGAATAATCGGTTTATGGAATAAATGGATAGTTTTGAAGTAGCGGGTTTGGATGAATGTATTGCCATGGCATACTCTGTATATTTCGCCTATTTTCTCAACTAAAGTATAATCCGATTTGTGCTTCCTCGTCTTAATGGCAATCTTATTAAACCAAACGATGCATAGTCCCGTCATAACAGTGATCTACCCCAGACTATGGAAGATAGCACAGAGGGAATGCAGGGCTTGTTCTCTGACTGCCATAGACATATGTCGTAGAGAAGGCTAATGTTTTTCAATTCACCATTGTAGAGTTCCATGTCTCACGTCGTGCTGGATAGTTATGAAGACTCTGATGTGATAATTTGAGCTAGTTGTCTCTAGTAAAAAAGCTGCCTTGTATCTTCTATTCAGATACTTGGTCTGGGCAGATGAATAGTTGTAGTATTTGCATAGAAGTGAAGTAGATGACAAAGATGCTACGTGATGAGCGAAGTAAGTCTCTAGGGAGTAATGACAGTGAATAGCAGCGATCCTTAGGGGCCTCTGGCATTCACTTTCAGCTTTACAGTGAGTCACTACCTATACAGCTACTCGGGCTTAGTTGATGCCGAAGGCCGAAGGATTTGTATGTATTAGGGTACAGTAGAGTTATACTGTTGATATCTAGTAGCGGACACTAATCCCGATCTGGTATAGGGCGGGGAATCCCTCCGCTCCTCCCCGCTCTTAAGCCCGAGCCTCAAATCCGAAGAATCAACATCGCGGACGAATTCCAGGCTTATAAATCAGCGTCATTGATATAAAATACATCGTCTTCCTCCCCGGAAGTTACACACTATCACATAACATTTTGCTCACTCAATTGAATCAATTGCACCTCAGACACAATGGCCAACCAACACGTTGCATGGATCGGTCTGGGCAATATCGGCCGAGTACGTCATCTCTACATCCTACCTCTGTACAAGTACTGACAAGCGCATAGGGCATGGTCCAAAACATTGCCGAGAAAGGTCCTCAGTCCTCTCTGGCCGTCTACAACCGCACAACCTCCAAGGCGGAGTCTTTGGTCTCGACTCTTCCCCCCAACAAAGCCAGCGTCGCCCCGTCCCTCCCCGAAGCCGTGAACCCCGCAACCCTAATCTTTATTTGTGTCGGTGATGACCCGGCGCTCAATCAGATCTTCGCCGCCATTCTGGAAGCCAAGGGTTTGGATATCTCGGGTAAGACCTTTGTCGACTGCTCGACCGTGCACCCCGACACCTCAAGGAAGACGCAGGCTGCACTTAGCCAGCGGGGAGCGGCATTCGTCGCATGCCCGGTGTTTGGTGCACCGAATATGGCTGTTGCAGGACAGTTGGTTGTTGTGCCTGCTGGATCTGCAGAGGCAATTGAGCGTGTGCGGCCGTACCTGGACGGTGTTACTGCGCGTGCTACCCTCCCACTCACTGGCAACGAGGACGTCGGCCGCGCGAGTCTCATGAAGGTCCTCGGCAACACATTCATCCTCAACATGGTCGAATCACTTGCCGAAGGCGTCACCGCAGCCGAGAAGACCGGCCTGGGTGCGGAGATGTACGAGCAATGGGTTACTACAATGTTCCCCGGCGCATTCGCAAAGTACGCAGAACGGATGACCTCGGGTGACTACCACAAGCGTGAGGAGCCTCTTTTCGCTGTCGATCTTGCAAGGAAGGACCTGCGCCATGCGAGTACGTTGGCAAGCGAGGGGGGTATGAGGTTGAGGAGTGTGGAGGTTACGGACGGGTACTTGCAGGAAGTTAAGAAGGAGAGGGGGGAGAAGGGGGATGTTGCAGCTGTTTATGGGGCAATTCGGAAGGAAGTTGGGCTGCCGTTTGCTAATAACTGAGTTGCTTAGATAGAGTGTATATATCTATAAGGATCGGAATTTCTCAACCCATTACAGTCTTCCTCTTCCGGATGCTGTAGTCTAACTACATACGATCTAATATCCATCACTATACTATATACTATACCTATACATCAGGAATAAACCTCCTCATGACATCCCTCACCCAAACCCTATCCACTCCCAACTCCTCCGCCTCTCGAATCGCTCGATTCATCCTCCCAACATACTCCTCCTTCGGCGGACCCATCCGCACCCGTTTCTCATCCACATAAACCAAAACAATCTCCTTCCCACCACCCCCTCTAGCTTTCTCTTGCTCCCCATCCAGCCACATCGTGATTGTCGCCGGTAGATACCACTTGTTATAATGGCCCTCGCCCTGTTCTCTAGGCCTCACACCACCAAGATCAATGCTAGCCAGGCCAGAGGAATGATCAACGTTTTCGTACCCATCGAGCAGGAATTCATCCTCGGGGGCCATCTCATACAGAACACCCCACACCTTACACCCATCATCAACAGTAGTAGCCTTTACCTGCTCTTCAACCCTCAATTCCCTCGGTGGGAGTACATTCGCATAGCCGGCCTCACAAATAATCCACCTCCAGCCTTCCAATCTTCCAATCGCGACTGGATTCCCGGACAAAGCGGGGTTATTTGTACAGCGCATGCGCATCTGCACGGCGGAGAGGTTCGAACCGTAGGCGAAGTAGAGGGGGCGCGAGGGATTGGGCTTTGTTGTGTCTGGGAAGGTGGTTGTGATTGTAGTTGGGTGTTGTATTGTGATATCTGCAGGAATGGACTTTTCGTTGATGATGAATGTTGCCTGGCTCAGGGGGAGATTTTGGTCTGGGAGATGCATTTTGGTGGTTTGGTTGGCTAGGCAAGACTTGGGAGGAGAGCGTGGTGAGATGGAGGATGTTGATGGTTGGAGAGAAGGCAATGGTGAGATTTGGTTGATATTGACGTGAGGTGAGGGGTAATATAGTGGGAATCTTCGATTACATGATGGAAATTTGCAATAGTGCCTAATTTAGTACATACCGCTGAATACCTATATCGAAATCGGCCATCAAATGGTACATAAGGCCGAAAACCATGAAACCGCTAGTGTTGACACGAACCTCCATAACCCTTTTACTGCTCTAATAGTACACAAGTCCGTAAGGGCTGACATTTCATCCTCACCTAGGTCTCTACTCTCTCTCATTCCTAAACTCCACTAACGAGTTCCCTAATACCGGCTCCTCGATAGTGGTATACTGACTATGCGCCCTGATCCTCTCCCCATACTTATACAGCACCCACGGCACAAGCACCAATGTCACTGACACGAAGCCCAGCAGACTACTCGCCCAGCGAAATTCCAAAGAGGAGAACATCTGCACAGTGAGCAGTGGGAACGTACCTCCACCTGCATACCGAAGGAGACTATTGGCACTGAGGGCGCTAGCGCCGTGTAGTGAACCATATGAGTTCATAGTATATAGCGCACCGCTGCTGTAGACCATGATGTTCCCCACCGCAAACGGTACAGCTGCTACAACGGGGCTCGGCCAGTGCACACCTGCGTCAGCAGTCCAGCCAAACCAGAAGAGGCTAACTGGGTTGAGGGCACAGCCTACCATCGTACCATAAAGACGGTACTCAGGCGGCACTGCGCTGACGCCATACTTCACCTCTAATGGAGGATATGTTCGCCGGTCTATATATACCACTGCAAGGAAGCCGATAACGCAGCCCAGTGCAATAGAGATGAAGGTAAGCCCCTGTTGACCAGGTGTGAAGCCATACTGGCCGCCAAATATATATGGAAAGACGACGAAAAAGCTGTAAAAAAGGGCAAAGTTGAATGCCATGTAGATGGTCAAGAAGAGCGCAATGGACTCGACGAAGAGCATCTTGAAAGGTTTGAGGACGATGCGCTAGACAACAGCGCTTAAGGGGAGAGCGACTTTGGGTGGTGGGAGTGCATTGGATTGTTCTTCCTTGCGTGCGCGCTTTTGGAGGATGGTCTTCTTGTAGGTTTCAGGTTGGGAAATGGAGTAGAGTTAGTTGAAGGCGACCATGAAGAGAATTACCCATTCGAGCCAGCGGAAGTCCTTGTTCTCACTAACGAAACCGCCGGTGACAGGTCCAGGAGAGGTCAGCATGGAAAACCATAGAACGAGTAATACAGTCTGTCACACCAAGGGCTAGGCCAAGAAAAGGAGACACGAAGTAGAAAGGATAGACAAAACCCGCTAGAGCAGGCTGCCAGAGATCTGCATTTGTGCCTCCGCCTTTTGAAACCACTGCGCTCCCGAAGAAGCCGCCGAAGAAGCGACAGACGGCCAAAGCAGCAAATTTTTGTGCTAATCCTTAACCTAGAATGGACAACCCGAAGATTGGAACAGTTGTTAGATATACAATCCTGCGACCATAATACTCGCTGACAGGTGCTGTAATAACAGCTCCGAGCCCAAGACCCCAAAGAAAGAGGGAAAGGCCAAGCAGAGATACTACGCGATGTACTCCAAAATGCTCTGGTATGTTGTTAGCTCCAGACGTGTAAACAGAAGAGGCGAAGGACCTGCATCAGTCAGAATCTAATACACTTCGAGAGTTGATGGAGTATGCTAACACATTGATGCAAAGAAATGCTGGAATGCTGGTCATGTAGATGCGCTTCCACTTCGGCCAGTTGTAAGGGCAACCCGGATCATCAGGCCCCCTCCAGTCGTTCATTCGAGATTCTTGTTGCGCATTGCTGTTCACAGTACTATGTGGAGGAGATATGACTGCCATGCTGCCGTGACTTGGCAGATTCAGGGAACAGAATCTATAACGGTTGATTGAAGATCGAAAGTCGATGGTGCCATTATTTGAGAGAAACAGTGAAATAAGGGGGCTAGTGAGGCTGTGTAAATATTGTATTGCCGCTTTCATTGTTTGTTTCTCTTCTTAGGGATTATATGGGATACTCCTATACGCGGCGTATAATTCAAGATCAAAATTCAGTATGGTTATTTTGAGTGTCATGCAGCTGAACTATTGAGTGTAATACATAGTACATTACAGGAACCTGGCCAACTAGGATAGATCTGTTTGGTATTGGAGGAAAGATATACTATACTGCACATGATCAGACGTCAAAGGCTACTCAGAGCTACGGAATACAGGCTGAGAAATTTAGAGCAAGGATTCAGCACACCCGGAGTATACTTCTGTGAAGAAGAAAACAGCTTCAGTATATGGCAAGACTGTTGATTTCCGTATATGCCGGACTTTGATATGTTCTCCCGGTTGGCCATGAGCAATTGAAGCTCAAATTCCGGGAATGTCCAAGCGTATGCATGACTGGATATAATGAGATGATGATAGGGTCGGGGACCACTGCTATGCAGTCAGCGTCCTTTGACTGTGGATCAACATTTACATGATTTATGCACTCCGCAAATTTTGACTAAATCTAAACACTATCCCACTTTCTTACGGTCATAAGCCACCGAACGAAACCTAAAACTTCTCATTAGTACTATTTTCCCCTCTCGTGCTAGGACAGACTTGTCTACGTACATTCATTTCTCCGATCCCGGCTCTGACCTTTCCATACCATTGACCAATCCGGAAACAGTAGATGTGTGGATATGCAACGGTGAAGAAGTTACCAGTAAACTGATGGACCAATAGTTGGGCCAAGCTTGGAATATCTCCAAGTCAATGCTGTGGAAGATACTGTAATCATTCCCCGCCTGCAGGAATATGCAAATGGTCGTGTGGTTGAAATCGCAGGGTTTCCAGAACAAAAGCATACTACTACAATACAATGGGAGGAATCGCTACTTCGAGAAGCAGAAATTCTCTGCGCTTGTACCCACACCCAGACTGGAACCCAATGGCTGAATTTAATGAGGGACCATGACCACACGACAACTGTTCTGCTTGTTGGTGCGGGTATCATGAACCTTATGACCGCCGAGTTTCAGCTGCGCGTGGTTACCAGGTGCGCATCGTGGATGCGGGCCCAAACCTTCAATCCTGTGAGAACTAGACTTGCCTGGGCGTCACTAACGGTGGTGGCAATGCCCGCATGTTCACTCATAGAGGCCGACAACTACAATGAGAAGGGCAGCAAAATCTACCAGAACATGCAGTCGATCTTCCGGCAGACTATTCGCAACGGCGGATGGGGCGTCAAGTCGCCTATGAATTTTACATCCGCTGAACTCCCTTGGGTGAATACTTTTGAACAGGTTCCGGCTTGGTTGGCACAGACATTCAGGGACAACATACATAAGGTAAACCTAAAGCTAACAAACACTAGAAGGAGTATATTGGGTCCTCTCACAACTATTCGAAGAGGTAGAATTCTGCAAGGACATCCTACGCATGTATGTGGAGCCAGTTGCTCTGGATGCAGCCATCAAGCTAAACCGGCAGCTTGGTGCGATCGTCCAGGCCACTTCTCCAGAAGAATTTCTCAGTGCGAATCCGGGTTTCAACTCCGTAGCCGAATTGGATCATCTCTCGGGAAGCATCACTGTGGACGGGTTTACGGTCAACATTTATTCCTTTGTAACGAAGTTGATCGACCGCATTACTGATTTCGGCGGGGAGGTTCCTCTAGGACTGCGAAGTGCAGGGCATACAACGCAACTCCCTGGGCGAGGTGACAATGCTGAAATCGCAACTGGGGCGTCTGGGAGCGGATCACTTCGTCGTGAGTCCTGGCGTGACTGGGAATGTACTGCTGAGTGAAACGGCTTGCAAAAACCTGGTCCACGACGTACTAGGAGTATGGCTGCAAACCCCCAACCTATACCTGCAAACATAGCATTCTATCAAAATCCACCGCCGCGCTCACCTTGTCGAAGATATCAATATAACTGTGGCAAAGGATGCGGAAGCCGGTGAAGACATCCTCATTTTTGGAGGTGGGTACGGTTATGTTGGACAGGATCACCCGCCACCACACTGTCCAGAACTAAAGGCCCTCTTCAATGAGCTGGGAGAGGTGGCGCGCATCTGTTTTACGCGGGGATATGTAGTGGTAAAGGAACGTGGGATCATGTACCCAGGTGGAAACTGCAAGTTTTGCGTCCGCTCTTTTACGCCTACGGGCCTCGGACTGTTCGAGAAGATCCTTGCTGCAAGTGGAGGCCATCTGATCATTACCGGCGGTAGCAACATTGGCGGTTTTGCGCAGGCACCAGCCGTAACGCATGCAGTATAGCAGGCGCTGGTCGACGAGCACGATCCTATTCATGTGCTTTCTCACCCTGATCGCGGCAGGCTTCCCACTGCCGTGACCTACAAATCCCGATTCCCTGAGCCGCTATCGCTGCGCGGTATAGAAGCCCAGCAACCTCTGAGGCTGCTCTTGCTCCGCTCGGACGGTCCCCAGCATAGGTACCTACGGTACCTTTAGACCAGACTTTCCCGAGCTACCGCTGCATCCTAGGAACCCATGACGGACAGGTACGCAAGCTAGTAGAAAAGGGCTGCATAGTCGGCGCGTGCTATATAAAGTACCATGGCCTACGACGTCATTACTCTAGACATGACCATCAGCGCAAAGCATACTTCAACCACCTGGTGCCACAGGACCATGCCTCTCCGTCACCAGTCATTTTCCGAGAGTTTAATAGTGGAACTGGTGCGGGAGTGTGGAAGGTTTGGAAATACGGCGACGTTCTTAAAAATTATGAGGTGTTGGGAAATACAGAAAACCGGTCCTGCGGATTGTCGGGTTACAATGGGTGAAATGGGGGTCTATGCTATTTTGGTATGAACGGTGTTTGGCTCACTATAGGACAACTATTATTCTCCTGCCCAGTATCTCTCCATGGTACTATGAAGGACGTATGCGCGGAACTACCATTACAAATATCTATGGCGAAGAAAAAAGGTCCTCAAGCCACCTGAGTCAAAGCATGTCACGACGTTCGTGATCAGATACGTTTCATACAGTGGCTACAGCGTAAAGTCAAGATAAGTAATGACTTAGGGCCCATTGCGGATTTGGATCCCTAGGTTAATTCGAGCTGAGCAAGGCCGAGCCGAATCCAGCTCTTAAGACTCTGCGATTACAGCCCTGAGTTGTTCACGAACGAAGCGATAAGTAATCGATGGCTTTGCGTTGTATGTACACTGATAGTGCGGTAACATGTATGATAGGTGGCTATCCAAGGAATAGTCCGTATCGATTGATTACACGTCACCCCAAACTCGGACGTTGGTTTGAGTGAACCAACTACTGACAGGAATCCCAGTAGCAGAACGAAGCGCATTGCCATTAAGGTGAAAGTCGAACCGATGGTCTATTTGAGCCAACCAGGCGGCGGCGAGCTTGTTGATAAAGTCAATTAGGCATACGTAGTAGATACATAGTAGGAACAGGCACTGAAATGAACATTATAAAGCTTTTGACAACGCTCTTTCATGGACTGCGAATGCCATATTGAAGCCATTGAATCAAACGAACATGTCAGCAACCAACGATCCAAAGGCACCGCAGTCTATAAACCTGGTCGACGCCAGTATCAAAGATCTCCTCTACGCTCTGAATACCCGTGCAATTACAAGCGCCCAACTCGTGTCGCTCTACCTCCATCGGATCAGATACTACGACTGCCGAGGGCCATCATTGAACACCATCTGTGTTGTCAATCCAAAGGTTTTCGAAGACGCCCAGTAATCAGACGACTATCGAGCCAGCGGGCTTCCACCTAGACATTTGGAAGGGATCCCCTTCACCGTCAAAGACAGCTTCATGGTCAAAGACATGACAGTTGCAGCAGGCTCACCCACCTTTACCGATTTTGTGGCCTCGTAGGATGCAGCCATAGTTTCTCTGCTGCGAAAGGCCGGGGCCGTGGTACTGGGCAAGACAAACATGTCCGCGATGGCGGATGGAGGAGGCCAGCGAGGACTCTACGGGAGGGCCGAAAGCCCATACAGCCCCCTCTATTCCACCACGGCATATGCATCTGGGTCCTCTAATGGATGCGGTACGTCGACGGCGGCCAGCTTTGCTGCTTTTGGATTTGCCGGAGACACCGTGTCTTCGGGTCGTTCGTCGGCGTCGAACAATGCGCTGGTTGGATATTCGCCTTCCCGTGGGGTAATCCCGAATAGAGGCCAGTGGCCATTTTATCCGACATGCGATGTGGTTGTTCCTCATACGCGCTCGGTCGAAGATTTATTCACTGTTCTATATGTCATCGTCGCTGATGATCAGGACGCTGTCCGGGGCATTGATTTCTGGTGGAACCAGGACTTCGTTTCTATCCCGAAGGCTTCGAGCATCCGCCCAAGGAATTACCATACTGTAGCAGACTCTTGCACATTGTCAGGAAAACGCATTGCCGTTCCAAAATGCTTCGTTGGTGTACCGGCCGCAAAACCACTCCATGTCTGTATCGAGCCGGTGCGGAAACTGGGAGAAAGCTAGAGCTACGTTCGAATCTCTCGGCGCGACAATGATCGAGACGGACTTTCCTCTTCTTGAGGCGTATATGAAGCAGGACTTTCCAGGTCAAGGCTGCAATGTACCCGGAATGCCCAGTAGCTGGATGGACATTGAACGGTGCGAGATGATCGCTACGGCTTGGGACGACTTCTTGCGTATTGACGGGGATTCAAAATATCCAAACCTCACTGCAGCTGATCCGGACAAGATACACCCTTTGGTCGCACCAATGGACAACCCCTCAAAACACAGAGGCAAAAAACCAAGTTCGTTATTCTGACATGATTTCCTTTGTGGCGGTCAGAAAAACACCCTCTACAGCTTCCCCGGTGTCGAGCAAACAACCAAGGCTCTGGAAGATATGCGAAAGAGAGAACTCGAAGCGTGGATGGACAGTGGCTTCGACCTCATCGCATTCCCTATCAATGGCGATGTCCCATATGCCGATGCCGAATCGATGGTCTATGCACTGCAAGATGGTATCAAACACGCCAATGGCGGCCGAGCACTCAAGCATGTTGGAGTCCCCTGTATTACTGCTCCGATGGGCAATATTGAGGCGAAAGATATGCCTGTTCGTCTAACCCTTGCTTACGCAGACAGTGGCCTGTTACGATATTCGTATGTGTATGAGAGCGCATCCCGACTCCGGGTTCCTCCGCCGTTGACGCCTTTGATATCATCGGACTGTATGTCCTTAGGTAATTCCTGTCTTCGTAGTTCAGTCAAAGCAAAGTCAGTCCTTGATATTCTTTCGGCCACGTGGGTGAAAACAAAAGTACCTGCCCTCGAGGCTCGACGGGTCGCTGTTGATGGGATTCTACATTCAGACGACCCTTCTGTCAGTGTCGCCTCCATTCAAGCATTTGTTAGCGGCGGGAGATCCGTGTCTGTATCCTTGGTTGGTGACAAATGGAAGTGGGAAGCTAGTTTGTCCCGGTCCCGGGCCAGCGAAAAGTATCCAACGATAGCAAAAGTGCCCAAGGATTGTTTTCTTGCTGCCATCATCGCTGCATTGGAAAATGGGAGAACCGCAGCCTCCATGCTGCTAATAGACTAGAATAGTGTTGATTGAACCTTGATTGTTTCATTGAAAGTTCTTCTCTTAACCCCTCATTGTTGGCAAATAGAAGTTGAGCATCCGTTTCTGTCAGCCAAATTGGTTGACGGAAACGTGCATAGCCAAGTACAACGAACGCTCATGTATTCTGTCCCCAGAAGCAGTGAGAACCAATGGGTGGAAACCTAGAGTTGGTCTAAAGTCAGCGACAGACAACCGTCGACATCCGTTTCTATTTGGATCTGATCCTAGGTAGGCGACCCTCAAGGATAGTTCTCGGCATAGTCTCTCGTGCTTTCATCATGGCGTGATGTGAGATAGTGCAGCGTGAAGAGACGAGAAGGAGAGGTATGCAAGGTTGGACGGTGTGATCAATCACTACATTGACCCTGTCATGGTCCACTTCCCCTTTTGCTTTCCAATCATCACGAAAGGTACGAGAAGGTGGCTCCCTTCCCATTCCGGAAAGTAGACATGAACGTACCCAAGCCGAGAAACCAATCTGTACACCGGAAGGCATGCATCGAACTGCCGCGATTCCAAATTTCGCAGGTCTGTCTACTCGTTAGGCGATAGACTGCGCAACTTGAAAGGGTCGTTGGAGTGTAGTTGGAAAACCATGGAGGTATATGCTTCTCCATTTGCATGGCGAATTCCGTGCGGGGAATGCTGATTCAACAGGGTGTCCTTTTCCGGGTCAGGTTGAAAACAGAGCCTGGCGGAACCATGGGTGAATCCCATCTCCATGTTGGAGACCCGGTGCCACGAAAACCCCCGGCTTTTGACTGGTCATCTCTTACATATCCGCCAGGCCGAGGTCTATTCGAGACGGGGAGAAGGAATATTGACCGGACTACTGCAGTTCAACCTGCGACATGTGGCACCATCGACTATCTATGCCAGGGAAGAAAGAAAGGAAGAAAGAAAAAAAAAAAAAAGAAAAGAAAGTAGCTATAGTTACCAAAAAGGGTAAAAAAGTCCCCGGCGCTGCCAGCTGACCATCCAGACCTCAGCACAGTTCAATATTGCGGCAATGCACCATCGCCAGATATATCAATGGAGCTCGCCAAGGTCGGCTCGAACGTTCTCCATGCCCATCCCTGCGCTTATTGCACTCAAATATTAGGTTCTGTCTGCAAGTCTGCAGATCGGTCCATGCTGTGTAGTGCCGCCGGTACATATCCTACTCTCGGTGCTCCAATTCATCCCCTACCGCCACGGCCGCCACAGTCAATTGACGGAAACATCATATGTCCCAACACTGGGCACATGTGGCGTTACCGTTACGGTGACCCAATTGCACGGCAAGTCAATATCGGAATGCGAACACGCATGCTATGAAGGATGTCCCAGGTGACAAACGATGCTTGGAAAGCCAAGTCATCATCCGCGGGGGATCTCCCGAGAACCGATAGCCAAGCTTAACCCTATGGGGCAGGTGTGGACTCAGGGTCTTGTGTGGCCCGAGGTCATGCAAAGTAGATCTACATATCTCGGCCGGAGAGGTTACTGAGAACCAGCAAATTCCCGGGCGCATCATGTCAATACATGAAACTGTAGTACATAGTCAGTGTATCGAAGGTGAGAACCTTAGCGGCGGTATCCGTTCGGATTGGCTATCTGGGACATTAACTTTCCGGGCCATGGAGGATCTAACTTGCGATTACACGGAACACCGCGGATCTGTTTCACTCTATTTCTTCCACTCGTTTACCTCCAGGAACCATGTCCATGTTTAAACTGACTCGGCAGTGAGCGCTTCGCGACGTGCGGGAGGAAAGAAAACCCCCATTACGCCGTAGTTGTAGTACCTCTGCAGGGTGGTCACACCCAACCGCCACAAGCACTTTCAACGCTGCGTAACAATCCCAATACACGTTCACCATGACGACTTTGGGGAACAATGCCACGTCAACTTGGTCCATGGGCTTAACCAAGGGATGTCTGCTGAATCATGCTACACGCGGAGGGCGGTGCGTTTTCTGCCATAGCAACTGGGGAAGGCAGGCCGGTGATGTGATCAGAAAGGGGTGCTTGGCCAGACAACCCACGAATCCATGTGGAGCTTATCCGAACATAGGTTGGTAGACCAGAGAGGATCACCGAGGATTCCTTTCTCACGGCGATCTACAGGGCTGCGATAAGCTGTTTTCCATGGACATAGTAAGCTTATTGGAAATGCTTGGGGGAAACGGAAACGCATGGTGCAGGATCACGGCGCCAATGCAAGGGTCCAGGGACCAATTCGTCATATCCTCGTGCTTAAATATGAGGTTCGACTGCAATGCATACGCCATGGCGATCTCTCCGTGATGTATCTGGGCTGGGACTGGGTCACACATATGGGAGGAGAGCTATTTTGGAAGCCGGAGAAGAACGATCGAAGGACTGACAGCGCATCCTCACTGGCTGAACCAACAAGGGCCAGGCATACCAGAGCCGACGGAAGATATCCCCTAGTACCTGGACGCGCGTTGTCTCCAAACTCAATAATGGTTGTACTTTTTTTGTATACATTTTGTTTCTTTTTCCACATTGCCACTAAGACATATTGTTTGACTATTTCTACGGCCATGCGCTCCGTTGGTTTTGGGATATCAGAAGTCTTCAAGACCAGACTTTGGGTGCTCGGTCAATTCTTCATTCCTTTTTTCTTTTTTCTTTTTTTTTGTCGTTCTATGATTGACCATGTCCACCCAAGCTCCGAGAAATTCCACCTCCACACTCACTCCCGGGTCGCAGAGCACTCTCGGGATTGTAGACCCTGTTATCGCGGAAAAGGGCATCGTGCACAGCAAGGCAGGTGCCGTCAGTGACAGCGATGCCGAGTCTTTTCAAGGCAAAGAAGAGAACATCATCCACTGGGACGGCGATGATGATCCCAAGAACCCAATGAACTGGTCACCGTTTCGGAAATGGTTGACTATCGGGTTAATATCTGTCAGCAGCTTCAACGTGTATGTTTGTCACAGTGCCATTGATTGGACAATGCTGACCATCAGGTTCCAGATCTATGGTCTCAACCATCTTCGCTCCCGGGGTACCCCAAGTCGAGAAAGAGTTCAATTCAAATAGCTCGGCCATCTCATCGCTTATGGTCTCCATCTACGTGATGGGCTCAGCAATTGGGCCAATCTTCTTGACACCTTTATCCGAAGTGTGTGGAAGACTGCCTCTGACACATGCGGCAAATACCCTGTTCATGGTCGCGGCGATCGTCTGCGCTGCGAGTATTAACATGCCCATGTTGATCGTTTCGCGGTTCGTCATGGGTATGGCCAGTTCCGTGCCGGTAACCGTGGGAGGAGGATTTGTTGCAGATCTTATGCCTATGGAGAAGCGTGGTACTGCTATGACAGTCTGGACTGTTGGGCCGTTATTGGTAGGTTTTCCAGTCTCGACATTGTCCTAGCCTAGAGTTGCTAATTAGTTCGCGCAGGGATTTGTGACTGGCCCGATCTTTGGGGGATACATTGTCGAAACTGTTGGATGGCGATGGACTGTCTGGATTGAAGCTATTCTCGTAAGCCTCTTGGACCTCTCACACTATGCTTTATGGCATTTGCTAACATAACCTTAAGGGCGCCATTGTTGTGATTGTCTCTATGATCTTCCTGCGCGAGACATACGCCCCCATCATCCTCGGACGCAAAGCCAAGAAGCTCTCAAAAGCCACTGGCCTTTGCTACAGAACCAAGTTTGAGCAGGACAAGACCGTCTGCCAACTCATGAGGATCTCCATCACTCGCCCTGTCATGTTCCTCGTCAAATCGCCAGTCGTCCTCATAGTATCCCTCTACAGCGCTGTCACCTACAGCTACATGTACGTGCTATTCACAACATTCACCGAAGTCTTCGAGAAAGTCTACGACTTCACCCCTGGCCAAGCTGGTCTGGGATACCTTGGTGTCGGTCTTGGTTTCTGCGTCGGCCAGATTACCGTTGGGTATTTCTCCGACCGCTACCTCAAGAGACAAGAAGCCATCCACGGCAAGATGAAGCCAGAGCACCGTCTTCCCCCTCTGGTCCTGGGATGCTGCCTCGTTCCCATTGGTCTTTTCTGGTACGGCTGGGCAGCCGAGTACCGTCTGCACTGGTTTGTCACCATCGCAGGAACCTTCTTCGTCGGGCTGGGTATTTACTACGTGCACCTGGTAACTCAAGTATACCTCGTCGACGCCTACACGCTCTACGCAGCCAGTGCCGTTGCGGCAGAACTCTCAATTCGGTGCGTCTTCGGTGCCGTCATTCCCCTTGCCGGACCGGATCTATACGCCAGCGTTGGCCTGGGCTGGGGCAACAGTATCCTAGGATTCATCGCGGTGGCATTCGCCCCAACATCATTCTTCCTGCTCAAGTATGGCGAGCGGATTCGCACGAATCCTAAGTTCCAACCCAAGTTGACGTGATTTTCGTGCATACGTGTATGAATATATATTAATTGGTGACATCTCGGTACATGATTAGCGCGGCGTCGTGGCGTTTGTGTTTATGATTGAAAATTGTTTGATTCGAGGTTTTTTTTATTATTATTTTTTTTTTTTTCATTGGAACGATAGAAAAAGGCTGGTTTTGGATTTTTTGATGACTTCTGGGAAACAATGTTTTGTGTGTATAGATACCCAAGAACAATGTTCATTTCTTGATTCATTTCGGTCCGGCATGAATGTAGAATCTGGTCGCCACAAACACTGCAGGTTGCCTGGCTGCATGCAGCCAATAATTGGTAATGGCATTACCCAGACAGTAGGAGGCATCAGTTAAACATGTATCATCCATCGCTGTTTCGGTATTTCCGTACTGAAGGTGTTTATTATTATTTAATTTCTCCGACTACGGTGTTGCATATGTACTCGGGCCCCGGTTCACACACCGCAATTCATGTCATCAACACTTAAGATAAAGATAAACATTGGAAGCATACAGAATCCCTGCTTTAATCACTTTAGCGCACAGCAAATAATAATTTGCTTATGTATACAAATACTAAGCCTATTTATCAACACCGGCCGGCTGGCCCAATGGTAAGGCGCTTGACTACGAATCAAGAGATTGCAGGTTCGACCCCTGCGTCGGTCATTCTTTTTTTTTTTTTTCTCTCTCTTTTTATTTATATTTATTAGGTGTGTCCCTTTTTTGTCTCTCCGATTCACTGTGCATGTGAGGAACTGTTGTTACATTTTATACACTTGCAGAAATATCTTTTTTTCTTAGGTGACGCCAAATTACTCGAAGTGGTATAGCGTTCCTGTTTAGGCTCAGCGTCCCATTGCTGCTTGGCATCGCTGTGCGTGCCCTATAAAGTCGTTCTGCATCGCTGCTTCAACTTCAACCAAGTTTTTGCTGTTTTTCTTTCACCTTTTGCCTTCGCCGCCTGCCACGGAGCGTGGGCACTTGCTTGGTCACATGACATGTTTGATTCATATGTGTTGATTCCTTTGTCTTGTTTTAGGGACCCCCTGTCACGGAGTACGGACATTCACCAACAACGCAAGATGTTTGTATACTTTGGCCTGTTTGAATATAGGGCAGGAACCCCCTTCACACACTAGATGGCGCAGCGCTAGCAGGCCCAGCTTCTTTCTTTCCTTCTCCATGTTAGTATTTCGATAGAGTCTACCAATGAATTTATATTGTTCGAGACTGTCACACCCCCTCACACATCAATAGTCCAGCTGTCAAGACACCTTTACCTATTTCTGCGCTGATGAGTCGGCCCTTATCATTGCGATGAGGATCAAGTCAATATCCAACCTTTTAGGTATCTATCCCAGCGAGTGTAATCGGTTTGATGGCTCTTGTAAAGGTCTGTCTACAGTTGAATAGATGAGTTCAGTTACTCTTCATGCTACTTTGGCATTTCTTGAAAACCTAAAAGTCTATCAGGAGATCATATGACACCTATGTGACGAATATCTCCTACTAACTATTATTTGAGTTCTTGGTTAAGGAAATGAAAGCCACCAGCATTGACATAGGTAGTGTAGTGCGAGTGCGTGCACATAAAAGTGGTTCCAGGTATCTTACTACGGAGGGCGACATTTTTTCCTTTAAAAATTGGCGCGGACAGAGATTTCTACTGTCTCTATTGTAAGCTTGAACGTCCCATGAATTTTGATCTCCTTTCAACAATTACTATGTCAATTCTCTGACTCCCGCCTGAGCTGCTGATGCTCATTGCACAGCAACTTGAATGCAGAGACCTGAACGCACTCCTCCATATTCATCATCATATACCATCAATTGAACGATTACCTCTATTATTGAAACGTTCAATACGATGGCTCTTTGCGATTTTTTGGGCTGAAAGTCCGGCTCTGAAAAGACTCTTCAGCGACTCCTCAATGCTGAAGCAGATGTTCGTTGGACATCCGACTCACAGATACACTCTTCGTCTAACGTGCTTTTTTTTCTATTCATTCTCTTTTTCCCGAAAAATAATTTCTCGCCTGTCTTGCAAGTCTTGCACAACTTGCGGAACATTCGGTTTATCCTGGGACGTGTCACGGCTCGTTTGATGGTAGATTGACACTGACGGGATGAAATGTATATATTCTGAGGTATGTACTGGCAAACGCTTCTCACAACCTGGATCGTAGTGTAAAGCGTAGATCAGTGTGAAATTATAAAATCATGATAAGGGATTAGCCACCTTATCCCTTTAGAATGAAGTTTCATTTAGTCTGATAAGGAGCACTTTGTAACTAAGATAGTCAGGAACTTCGACCATAAACATCTCTGTGCCACTCCATCTCAGAGCATCATTGGATTTGAAGTATCTTGCACTTACAAGCTATGTTCCGGGACGAGCCGGTGTGGATGTCATAATCTTTTTCAATGTATTGCGTTGCTGTCTCTGCCTCGGGGTGGAAAAATGCTCTTCAGAGATAGCTATGAGATGATGTACAAGGTATAAAAGGTCGCCAATATTGACAGATGGCTGGAATCTACTGGTCTTGATAAGACCATATTCCTCGGTGAGTTGCCGGCTCACAAGCTGCAGAAAGGTTAGCCAGTCCTGAACTACATCTCTCATAATGCGACTCACTGACTTCACATCTTTTTCTAAATGGTAAGGAAACTCTCTTTACATTTCCTCACAGTAATAGATTCTCCAGTACCGCACTCGAATGACGAATCCTGACTGACGCTCAGGATTATGGGCTTCATGATACCAACGCAAAAAACCTTCAATAATTTTTATAATGAGGTTTTCAAGCTAGTAGCGTGTGTCTTTAGGCTCGAGAACTGTACAGAATCTAGTAAGGTAGGTGAGCATCAAGCAATACCACCATATTGTGAAACCCACTTTTCTAAATTCGCTCGCATGATGTTCAAGCCAATTCTTGTGGATTCTGCAGTCTCTTTCTATTTCCTTGAGGGGTCCTCAAACAAGCTGGTTCCAAAACTCAGGCGACCTATTAGTCTAATGTTTGGACTTAATATCGCGTTTGTCACTTTATAGGTTCTGTGATAGTCATTTTGGTTGAGCCAAATCAAAGAGGAAGGACTTTAGAAATTGTGCTTGAAAGGAAGAATGAAATGTACATTGAAATCAGTCTTTTGGAAGTTTAAATGGCTGTGTGGCGTTTCCGGCGTCACCCCGAGTTACTCCGTACAACAAAACCATCATGCCGGCTATTGGCATGCTCCTTAAACTCAGATGCGCAAAATGTCATCGCGATATATTTACGGTCGATTGAATACTGGCTGATCCATAGCAATGCCGTATAATCGGGATATCGTGTGTGCTTGTGTTTTTCCCATAGACAAGTAATAGTCGCAGCATCGATACGCCGGGCCGCTTTGTCGACATGAAACGACCAAGCCGACTATTGACATGCTACTTGGACTTATATTGCGCGCGACATCTTTTAATCAAACTGGCCTAAGGCCATACCGGCTGATTCATTGGCGCAAGACCATGCTTGAAGCCCAACACTCGCCAGTCATGGACCACAAGAAGTGGCTCTTGATCGAGCGTATTTTCAAATGAGGCCCGAAAAGATTGCTGTTGGGTGCGCATGTCAAGAACTATGCAGAAATGCATAGAGCGTTCCCAGGAGCTAAGGGAAGAAAAAGAAGGTACCCAGGGTAGCAGTGTAAGAGTATATTTATGAAAGATGCCGCCAAGATGTGTAATATGGAAGGGGATAAATGCATTGAATGCAGCTTAATGCAATGTGATATCGAACAGCGACTGATATGACTGATGACCCTGTCTTGGGTAAATTTCCTCTGGCATCATGGCAATAGATTTGTATATCTAGGCATTCTCAGGTCTTGTTCTCAATTGCTGAACCTGCTCACCCCTAGCTTTGAAGTGATGCACAAAGACTACCATAATTTGGTGGCATGGTCAAGCTCCTATTTCCAGGAGAAAGTAAGACGCCATATGACATGACATGCTTTTGTTGCGTATAGACACCAGAAAACATTGTCCACAACGCAACCAAATGCCGGTGCGACACAAGGCTAGAACTCATTCTCGCCTCGTTCGATAATGCTGCGTGGCTATTGCTGTTGCATATGCCCTTTGGCATATGAACTTGAAAAGAACCACAGTATTGAACGCCGGGAGATTCTGAAAGAAACAAATTTCTGGTGCGAGAACGTATAAAGTACCATCTAATCTAGCATGATATATATAGCAGTTCAAGACCAAATATTAGAATCAACGACTGCTGAACATTTGTTGAAACTGCGATATACCACATGCTCAACCAGCTCCCGTGTGGGACACCAATTGAGCACCAAGGCACTGAGACCAAGGATAATGGCGGTGCCCTTTTCATGGTGTGTGAGTTGGCATACGCAGAAGAGTATGCCCATTTGTAGACTGGTAAACCGTTCAATGATGGATCAATTTCGTCAACAAAACAGCGCTGATCACAGAGGACCCAATGCAATGTCCGAATCGTCATTGAGCTTGTCGTGGTTCTTGAATTCCAGCATGTTGAATTTAGCGAAATCAACTGCGGTGTCGGCTTCATGCAGAATCACAGTCTGCGTCCATGAGACCGCCTGCCAAAAGCTCATGCACGAGAGCGGTTGAAAACCATCCTCTGGACTGGCGTCATTATATCTATTCTCCAGTACTTACTGCGGTTAACCATGTCCAGAACGAAGTCTCCTTGGTAAGGGGTAAACCGACATTGGGGAAACCATGTTAGCTCTTCCCGAGGAAGAATATGCGAGAAGGCACCTAGCCAGGAACTAGTTCACTCACGAGACAAGAGCCTTCATGTCTGTCCAATCTCAGAAGCGCCCAGTTTCAACAACAGGGAGCTATAGCCCTTTGGGGCACATCCTATGATATTAACCAGCCGCAACTAAGTATCAAAACCTTGTGGAGCTGTGCTATCCAGCAGCAAACAAGATTTACCCATCAAGTATTACAAGACATTCAAAGAATCACCAATTGCACAAAACCTTTTGAAAGCAATCCCACGGACGTCGAACCAAAGCGATAGAACCAGAAAGTGAAGATAGCAGGAGCCAATTATTAATTGCCTTGTGTGTAAGTTGTGTTATATAACCAGGTGCCAGCCTCTTGACTTGCATGCGGCTCTACATTCCTCTATGCCGTGAAGGTTGAATGAATAACGTGCGACAACTGAGATCGAGTTTGAAAATCCTGGAACTGGGTGTCTACCCAGGACACTACCTAAATGAAGACTCGAATCTCCTCCCACGCAGATGTCTGGAGGACTGACCCGGTGACCGAGGGAACGGCGTTAGTACAGCAGATTGAACAGCGCCTGTCTTAAGTTACAATATCATGAATTCAAGACCTATCCTAACTGGTCGCTTGATCGCTTGATATAGAGTAGCCAAGAAAGGTCGCTGCATCTCGGAGTACTATGTGCATCTGTCTTCGGGTTGTCCGCTCTACTACGGAGTATGGCTGTTTCGTCCCAACATCACCAAACGGAAATCCCACAACCTTCAGTAACCGTGTAATTACCAACCCCATGCCAATGCCATCCCACGATTACTGTGTGGGAGTCACGCACACACAATCCTAGTTAGGACTGTTATCTCATGCCTGCATACAGAGTAGCTATGCAACCCAAAAAGCAAGCAACCGGACCGTGGATGCAATCAATGATAAACAATGCAGATACGACCCCGCCGATAGCTACCCTCTACGATCATGCGGCCAGCCTATCACGGGGCTATTAATCGGCAACAGGTTAGCATAAACTATTGACCCGCTAAACTCTGCTAGGGTTTGGCGAGGTCCACATGATGCAATACGGTCTGTCAGGTCATACACAGCACGGAATATATACGAGTACGAAGTATTTACAAGTTGTTCCTGGAGGATGGAAGGGCTGGAATTTGGGCTGTAGATACGGTGTGCAGCATTTGACGCATCGAGTGTCTCATTTCCTTCTTGCCGAGCATGATTGAGTGTCACTGCCAAGCACACCAAGTAAATAGTAATTTCTCGACTTCTTGACTTCAATGAAACAGACGATTGGCATACCCAAAGTAACTCCGCGGATCAAACAAAGTAGGCGGTGAAAATCGACAGAATCCCAGGGGTATGATACATACATACATACATACCACAATACGAGATGGAAAATGTTACTGAGTCCGGAGACATTCCTTCAGTCATACCCTTGGAGTATCTGCTATCTGCCCTGCGTAGTACATGTTCCCAATCCGTGCCGCCGCCCCCGACTGACCGCCGGAACAGGTGGAAGAAGCGCTAGCCTAGCCTCTTAACTAGTCCGGTCCGTGTGCTGGCCCGACCGGTGCGCCCGGTGTTTTGCCCGATGCCGTGAGCCGTGAGGCGAGTTGGCCGCTGGTTGGCTTGGCGGATTTGATCTGTGAGCTGAAGGATTGGGGCTTAGACTGCGGGGGGAGCAGAATCTGGAGGATGTGCTAAGGGTCGTACTTTGTGTGCACCCTGTATTTGCACTCCATATGCAGATGTATGGAGGGTAAAGTGACAGCGACCGGAAGAATGGATAGAATGTTCTTCGAATCGACCCAGACCCGAGTGTACCGTGGTCGGGAACGGGTAGGAAAAAGTCGCATGGGTCCATGGCAAGTACAAGTGTGGTAACAAGAAATAATGTAGTAGTCTGATTGATCATGCTTGACGTGTACCAATACACTCATAATGTACAAAAAGTGCGGGAAACAGAAACTTGGCTGTGCATAATATAGACAAAGAGGGCTATCTATTATTATGGGAATTAAGGTATCGAATACAGATTAGGTCTATTAAGCTGGTCCCCTTGCCTGCAAAGGTCAGATTGGTGCCCGGAAACAAACGACAGGACATGGAGCATACCAGTACTGACCTCAGAAAGCACCTCCCACATTTCCCTTTCTCTCGAATTGTTCCCAGCGCTCGATCGTGTTTTTTCTTCGTTTTCAAATTCACAGAAGCAAACCAGCAGCGATCGGCGTTAACCCGTAGAGCACACTCTTGCCAGCATCGAACAGGCCGCTCGCCCCGTTCTCGGTGGGGTACTTATTGGGGTCGTCGGTGTTGCACTCACCCCACTGCGAGGTGGTGCTCAGAACACACTTCTCCTCGTTGCCATCTGTGTCCTTGATGGTGAGCTCGGCGGTATGCCAGTCGACTTCGACGGTTTTGTCGCCACAGATGGTGGCCGGGTCGGTGTTTTTGTTGTCACCGCAGCCACCTGGGAAGGGGCTGGAGGAACCCTTGCAGTCGCCGAAGATATTGTCCTCGACGATGACGGTGCAGTGAGACTTGTACTTGTTGGCAGAAGGGTGGGTGGTCTCGATGTGAATCTGAGCAGCGGAGATGGTCTGCGCCAGGGCGGCGAGAGCGCCGAACTTGAGGATCCAGGACTGCATTGTGATGGTTGTTGTAGGGAGTGGAAATAAACCGATTGAAGAGATCTGGATAGAGAAAGGGACGGGAGGTATCAATCAGAGAGCAACAACACACGAAGAAGAGAACAAAGCGGAGCAAGAAAAGAAGAGGAAGCGAAAACGGGGGCGGCGTGTAGGAGACGCGAGCCGCCCTTTATAAGAGTCGGGGGAGGGTTCAACTGGGGGGCGCGTGTGCCTTGCAGCAGTACAAAAAGTCAAAATAGTTAATCCACCCGGCTCAGTCGGCAGATTTCACACAATAATCAAAAACAATAGTAATAAATTCAGTAAATCAGCACAATCAGCGAAAAAACAAACCGCGCACTGCCAAGACCCAATGAGAAATCTTTCAGGGTCCACTTCAATCTCCGACTTAACCGATTAATATTCCAAGACACTTTCAGCATGGGGTAGCTTTCCTAGTCCGGTAACTATCGCACCCTGTTGCTCGTTCCGCCGATACCCCAGTTCCAGTAAATTTCATGATTGGTGGGTGGTACCCCACATGGTGCATTGCGCTAGTCAGAAAGTGTTACCCGGGCATCACACCCCTTGCGATTCAGGCATCATTTGCTGATTCATCTCGCTCGTTCCGATCTTCCTATTGGCGGTGGGAGTAGGGCATACCACCGCCTGCCCTTTTAGTAGCTGGGCCCTGATATGTTCCACTATGACGTAGTAGACCCGTTTGATCCTTGTATTGCAACTGTGGCGATCTGATTCGTTACTGGCTTTGTCTGGAACATCACGTTTAATCGCTCGTGGAGCGTGGAGGAATTAACTGCCATGAATGAGGCATGAGAGGAAATGTTTAGATTGAAGAAACATATAGAATACACCGAAGTGAAGATAAATGGAATGTACGACGGAGTGAGGTATAAAACGCCTGCTTGCATAATTATCCTTTTTTGCCTCTTGTCCCGTGGTACATACGGTTACAGGAGCATCGGTGCAGGTATAGCCTGTATAGCCTGTATCTGTACATGCTCCGTTCCGTACTTATAGAGTAGCTTCAATATTTCAGTCAGGATCTGTCACTCTGCTTGGATGATCACAGTTAGAACTGGGTTCCAAGTACTACTACAGAGTACATACTCCTAGTGGTCGCCCTAGAAATATACCCAGTGGGTATGGTACCGCGCAATACCCAATCACCCCAATCCTCACAGCTACTCTGGAGTACAATTCAGATACACTTCCTACCCGCTCTTCAAAGCACACATTTAAAAGTTGATTGGCCTGTCCCTTGCAGCCCTTTTTCCATCAAGTTTCTACAGCACATTCTACATATCTTGGCAGGTCATGAATTTTCTGCTTACTCCGGAGCAGGTTCAGTCGGCACCTGTCAGCCCGAGGTAAGATACCCAAACCGGTAAAACGCAGAGATTGAACCAAAGGCGAATTCTCGGGTGGCTGTGGGGCCTCGCTTGAATAATGGCGCGTTGTACGGAGAGGCAAGTCTGGAAGCGAGTAGACTATCCGTGTCAGACGATTATGATGCTTGATAGGGTAATTCCGTTACTTTAGTCTCCACTGCGTCAACGGTGGATAGTTGCGGAGGACTCGGTGGGCGTGAAAGTTTTTTTAGGGCAATGGTTTTGTAGTCCTTATTGCTCTGATTTGGACTTTTTGCTGTGACTGATTGACTACAAATGAGCCCACTCCTCTCTCAAGAACCCTCCTCGGAGGCCCGCCACGGCTCCTATCGCCTTTACCTGTTACGAGTTCCCGTCCACGCCCATTTCCGCTTTTGCTCTTCCGATGCCCTACCATCAAGCTATCTGCTATATAGCGGCCCGGGACGGGGGGGGAATTTGAATCCACTGTGTCAGTTAGTAACAGTCAGTGACTTGAGAGTAGGAGGAACATACTGTCCGCTTCCGCCTCTGGCAGTGAACAAATTTACATACTCGGGATGATGATCGACGATAAAATGTCCCTTGGGAGTATCTGTGTACCAGCACAATCTCCGCTGGATAAAACGCTCGACCCTTAAACCTGGGCAGGAACAACGCCAATCCATCTCGCAACGCCTTCTCAGCACCAGCCGGCAAAAACTGTCCCTGCTGCTTCAATGCCAACTTCGGCGCAGAGTAAGACGACGCAGAAGAGCTCTGCTCTACTTCATACCCATACCCATGCCTCGCCATCTTGAGAACATTGCTCTTTGGCGTTGGAGGGAACACAAACAACTCGGTACGCAGGTTTACCATCACCGGGAAACCCTTGTTCATCTCCGCCACTTCGTCAGGGTCCAACTGTATCATAGCTACCGGCTGCACAGTGGCAATCGTACGATTACCCATCTTAAGCAAATGTGATGTCTAAACGCCCGTGGTTAGAATCGTTATATCTACTGATATTGTATCCCCGGATGAAACGCGCACCCCAGTGATTCGCTTCCCATTGCTCCCAGGGACAGTAACCAACCCCATAAACGTCTCCTCTTCATCGTAACAAAAGAAATCCCAGGGAGAATATCCTTCCTTGAGAGGAAGGGTATTCTCCTCTCCGCATTCGCCCATCCAGAACTCTCATTCGCATATCCCCGTTATTTATGCGGGTCTGGTTTTCGTATGGGTATGTGAAGACGGACGTTCGATCCGAACCCACATTAGTCGTTCGACCAATGATAGACAGCTATGAGCATGGTGATAAGTGGTATACTGCAACAACATGAATGAAGTACTGTGATATGGCTGTGTTTTCAAGCCAGTGTATTGGCAGTAAATCAGTCGACCAGCAAATGACATCCAACACTGCCACTATAAATCCCCAAAGGACAAGAAATGCAGCTGCGGCGAAACAGGAATATCAAAAGACCCCAACAACTCCTCATCCATCAACGGATCATGGAAATACATCGATGGCTGTACATCTCCCATCGCATCCTCATACCTATTCTCTTTGTTCCTGCCCTCATTGTCCTCACGACCTTCTGACGGCTCGTGTAGCTGGGCTACATACTGGGTGGGAATACGCTCTCCTATAGAACTCAATGGTTGTAGCGATGGAATATCAGTGCCCCGGCCTATGGACATGGGATCTAACAGATCCCATAGAATGGAGAGTTTGAAGGACGGGATGCCGTGGTGACCTGTCGTTCTGTCATTTTGTTGGATGAGGCCTTGGAGGTAGTTTAGTCCGTTTATCTGTGCTCTTGTCAACCAGAACTCTCATCTCGCTTCGAAGCCTTGAGAATATCGAGAGTAAAAAGGAAAGCTTACAGCCTGTCCAAAATGCGGCCACTCTCCCACCATCCCCAGAATAAACCCGCGACACCGCTCGAAATCCGAACAAGCCCGCTCAGCAACAGTATCATCACTCGCAAACGCAAAAATCCAATGCACAGTCGCCGTAACAACAATCTGATACCCGATAAACGGATCACAAATCCGCATCCCCAACTCCTCCATCATCCTCACCAACCGTACCGTCCATCCAGAATGCATAAGCGCCTGATCAACAACATGTTGCAGGAAAGACGGCGGCCTCAGAGTAAAAGTAGAATCCGGCTTATTGGAAGTAGCGATGTGGAAAAGCGGATGGTTAAGCAGTGCCTGAACGGTGTGGAACATGGTCTGCAGGAGGAGCCAGGCTGTCCAGTATTCTCTGTACTGGGCAACTTCTGCGGCAGATTTTAGTTGCTCCCTGATAGTTTTATAGCGATGCGCTTGCGCCATGCTTGCTTCGAATTGGTAGAATTCTGCAATTATCCGGTGGTACGTCGATGTGGAGAGCCACGCATCTTCAATTTGGCCGGTGTGGATTTGCCGCATGTAGGTGGTTGCTTCGCCCCAGATGGAGATTAATTGAATACAGTAGCCTATTATTCCTCGGTCACTGGCGCTTCCGCCTAGTGTTTGTTTGGATGGTGGTTTTGGTGTTTGGAAGTCTGCTGGGAGGGGCGGTTTGGGTGGACTGGTGGGTGCGGGGGTGTTGAGTAGGGGGTAGGTGTTGGTTTTGAGTGTGTTTGGGCCTGGGGTGAAGACTTGTTCTAGGATATAGATGCTCCAGTAGCATCTGGCTTTGTCTTCGTTGGGGGATGTCTCGGTGTGGCTGGATTTGAGTGTTTTGGCGAGCCTTGATGCTATGCTTATATTCATTACCGTTCTAGCTTGTTTTCCGGCTGAACCGAGTTAATAACAATTTCCATAATCCTGGGATAAGCAACTTACCAGCGATATCACACAAGGTCAACAAGCACAGAGCCTGTAAAATCTCCACTGTACCAATACCCTCTGCCGCACGGAGAATTACCATTTCCCGAGCAGACCGGATATAAAACTCTACAGCTTCTGCTTTGGAACAGCCATAGAACGGATGCTCCGAGAAAGGTAATGTAGCTGCTATGAATGACCGTAGTAGATATTGTGGAAAGAGAGCAACCTGCTCGTGTAAAAAGGTAGGATCGAAAAGCGGAAGAGGTTGTATGTGTGTCCGGGTTTTGTAAATCTCAACAAAGTAGTGTAGTATTTCTGGAGGGGGATGAGGGCTGTTTAGTTAGCCCTGATACGCGGAAAATGGAGTCAATGAAATTCATACAAAGCATGAGCATCAAAGCCTACGGAAGAAGGCAGGGTCATCGCGGAGCCTTCCGGCCGCGCTGTAGGTCTCGTCTGCCCACTCAATGCCCTAACATGAGGTCAGAAATACTCTCAAAGTAATCACTGGGGCACGACGAACTGAATAGTATCATGCATCCGCTCCACCTGCATTTCCAACCGATGCAGCCTTTCTTTCGAGTCATTTTTGGACTTGCCACTCAGCGCAATTCTCAAGTCATCCAATGCATTAAATTACCTTAAATGCCACAGTCCCAACCTTATCCTTTGGCAAATACACACATCTCTGATTCAACCTCCGACAAAACGAGCATGCTGGCTTCTCGCCGGGACATTTTGTCTTTTTTTTGCTGCTGAAAGTCAGCATCTACCATCGGCTTTTGACAAGAATAACGCCATCCCACTTACCGACACGGCTCACATGCATGCTTAGCTCGCGGTTCATGGAAATATGGGTCTCCGTCCATGTTTTCCGTCTAATTTGCAGTAGTGCAGAATCAGAAGACAGACTTCCTTGTAAAAGGTGGTGTAATGAGCTTTCGCCAATTATTTGCCATTCCGGCTTCCGCTCACGTGGACGGGACGCGGGAGTTTCCGGATTTGGTACTGAGAAACCCTAACGGGGGGAGTGACCTGTGGGGAAGTAAGCATGCACTCTGAAATGGATGTAAATTGATTTGAATGTATATAGATGATATTTCTAGCTCTAATATTGGACCCATGTTGCTGGTGCTATTCGATCTTGTATAGTTGGAATTATCGATGTCCCAAACCGAATCGTTCAACCACAAAACAAGACGGACCAGTATGGAGAACCATATATCACTCCACTATTCCCGTGCCCACAACCGTACCTCTAGCTCCATGATGATAATATGTTTCTGGAAAAAGTAGGAAGGTAAATAAGGAATGATCCATAGCTAACTAACATTAATCGAACCCAACTTCTTCCCTACACCCAAAATGCTCCCAATCGCTATCCATACTTTACAATCACTCGTCGCCTTAGCGGTCATCGGCTGCTCAGCAGTCAGGCTGTCAGAGGAAACAGCCAGCGGATATGCTCTGGCTATGTTTACGGTATGCTAAGCGCCAGCCTCTCCATCTCATCACAGCACTTACTGACTACATTTTTTTCGATCCCTTGAACAGGCCATTGCTACGACCCTCGCGGCTATATACATCATAACCACATCGTTTATAGCGAAGAGTCTCTTTAAACTCTGGTCTGCCGTTACCTGTAATGTCATTACTCTGATATTATGGGTTGTAACGATCGCAGCCTTGGTGGATAATCATCGCCCGGAGTGTGGTGGGCATAGGAATCATGGATGTTACAGGAAGCGCTATGAAAAGGGGGTCGATGACATTTGGGCTGCGGTACTGGCGTTGTGTGCTGTTGAAGGGTGAGTATTATTTGTTTATTCAACGTGATTTGTGATGGCTTGCTGATTGGGGGAATTTGTAGGGCACTTTCGGTAATTGGATGCGGCGTTCTTTGTGGTTCTCGCAGATTTTGAACAGCATTGAGTCAATAGGATACCTTGGGAGTGGGCTGAAGTCAGTAAGATTAAACCCGACGAATTCTCGTGGTCACATTAATGATGATCGTTTAGATACATTAGACTCATCAATCGTCATAGCACTCAGTTCATATCACTTTTCTCGTAACATCACTGCCAACTAGCAGCTGAATAAACAAAAGTCAAACCTGTCATAACACGTAAAAGATGTCTTCCAAAAGAAGGTAAGGGGTATCAAGAGAGACGCAGATGGATGCAAAAAGGCATAAGTCGAAAAGCAAGGGGAGGGATCAGTTGTAGTCCATTCCCAGTTCATCGACCTCGAATCGGGCTCCCAATGCCTGCTTGCCCTCTTGGATCATCATCTCTAGCTGTCGATTCAGACGTCGCAGATTTGCGTCTTCCTCCCGCTCCATACGCCGCATCTGCGCGACGAAGCGTTGCGTCTCAGCCGACACGGGACTATCACGATGCTTTTTATTGCTGGAGGATTTGCTATTGGAAGATGGAACTGGGATTCGTGTGGGGGTGGTCGGTCCGCCAAGAGAAGTCCTTTTACCCACGCGTGGCACCGCAGTCGACCTGTGACGGGTAGGAGACAAATCTTCAGCACCGCACACACGATGCACTCGTTTTGCGGGATTCAGTGCCTCGACACCAAAGGAGAAACAGTCCGCCGGGCCGTCAGTCTGAACCACAACCCAGTTTTTGTGAATCTCGTTGTCGTCGGGATACTGGCCGGGGATGGGAGTCGATCCGCCTTTGAAATAGTAGGCAGGGGTACCTTCCACCGCTTCATCGACAGCAGTTTTTTCAGTCGACGCCGACTGCGAGGGAGAAGGAGCCCTGTGACTGTGATCAAGCTGGGGCACTGAATCCGCAGACATGTGATAACCATGACCACCACCAGCATAGAAACCACGAAACGCACCCGACCAGCAAAAGCTCCACACTTTTCCCACGGCATTCATCACAGATTGACCCCAGCTAGCCGGGAGAGGCGATGGAGTTACATCCTTGTCCTGAGCTCCTTCCTGCTGTTCCTGACGACTGCGCTTGCGGGTGTTCCCTGTGTGACTGGATAAAAGATCGACACTGGCATCGATGGGAGGTGCTAGAGGTAGCTCTCCACGGATATCTGAGTGATCATATTCTATCCCAGAAACATTTTCATCCCGACCCAACCAGGAAGAGCGGTAGAGGTGATCGTCACCATCGTGAGCGGCAGCTGCAGCGGCGGAGAAGTCATACAGAGAACGGCGTTTATCGGAACCTCCGGTGCGGGATCGTTTGCGAGAATTCGTTGAAATAGTATTGAAGAGGGAAGATGAAGCAGAAGTGGTAGAGGGCGTCTGGTAGAGCTGGGAATGAGCGTCGGCCAGATCGAGCTTTGGTGGAACGGGGGAGTGATGGACGGGGGAGCTGTAGAGTGAAGAGGCACGCGAACTGGGCATAATGAAGAGAAATAGTATTCAAAGTGAGAATTAATGATCTAAATGGCTAATAACCTTCTTCCATGATAAAAAATGAACGATGGAAGTGAGGATGAAAAAGGATGAAAGAGAGAAGGAATTTGAGAGAAAAAGAAGGTGAAGAAAATGGTGAGGCTGAAGTTACTTTACTACACTATGACTATATTCAACTAGAGTAGCACTATCCATTCATTCGCACTGCCACTATTAACAGCAAAGAAAAGATTACAGCTTCTGAGCACCCCATTGCACTCCAGCAGCATCCAATCCAGCTTCTCCATCCACCAAAACACACCATCCTTCTCCTCCTCGGCCTCCATCTCCGGCAATAACGGCCTCAAAGTGCTTCCTTGCAAACTGCAGCACCGCGTCATCAAATGTTCCCGGCTGCAACCAGACGGCGGGGATTCCAGCCGAATGCGCTTCCTGTAGCACCGACAGCGACACCGCGGGGGGCGTCACGACCGACAGCGACGTCTGCGTGGGCGACGGCAAGGCGGACGGTGAGGCGACCGTAGCGTAGTCCTTGGAGGGAAGAGAGATCTGGGGAGATCGGGGGTTGAGGGGAGTGACAGGGAGCGAGTGCTGGTGATACCAGGCAAGCACTAGAAGTAGAGACACGGCGAGAGTCAGTTACTCTTCCTCATTGGGAAATCATGAGGCTATTCCCCACGTTTGTAGCCAAACTTGTTGGCGTCATTGCTGGCTCCGGCCACGGCGAACCGGGGAGAAGAGAAGAAACGCTTGACGGCTTCCATAGTGATTTATAGTAGATGTAGTAGTTATGTGTTTATGTGTGATTTGAGAATACAAAGAAAAATGTAGCTACAACACAGCGTACTTGTAGAGTTCCGGAGAAATCGTCGGCCTCGGTTCTCCGGCCATCACTACTACTCTTTCATTCTGTCATCTTTCAACCACTTCATCACGCCATAAAATTCAATACATGAGTTCTTTATTCAATACAACTATTCCTGTATTATTGAACTCTGACTGACCTTCTCTGCATGCCACCGTTCGTCCCCCGCAAGCGCGTCTCCTCCGAGGATCCTCCCAGTACCAAACGCCACCATGCGATCCCTGCTGTCAAAGCTCCAGTTGTGGAGGATTCCGAAGACGACTCGCCATTGAGCGATGTGCCTAACTCTGATAATGAGGAAACCCCTGGGAAAAATGATGCGACCGAGAAGGGCAAAGGAAAAAGCCAGGGATCGGAGGACGAGGACGAGGAAAGCGACGACGATGACGATGACGCTACGGATTGGGAAGACGCTATAGATACTACGAACCAGCCTGCACATACCACCGCTCTGCTCCCGTCCGCGATTGAGTCGCAGGATCTCGAATTGACGCTCGACAAGAACGAAGTGCATGTAGCTGATCTCCTCGATGGCAAAAAGGGCCCATCCAAGATCGAGCGCCAGATCCGTATCAGAACCCATTGTCTACATGTGCAGCTTCTACTCGCTCACAATGCCGTCCGAAATGCCTGGGTGAATAACTCCAAAGTCCACGAAACCCTCCGGCGCAGGTTACCCCAGGGAATTTACAAGGAGATCAAGAAGTGGCGGGTCGCATCAGCGCTCGATCCCCCAGAACAAGAAATTACGGAGAAATCCACCAAAAAGAGGAAAGGGAAAGAGAAGCAGACTCGTAACCCTGAGCGGGATTGGGGGGAAGGCTCGTCGCGATTGGAACCTGGAAAGCCGGATATGAGTCTGGGCGATCCTATCATTTCCCTACTCAAGGTTCTCGCTGCATACTGGAGAAAACAGTTTAAAATCACTGCGCCGGGTCTGCGCAAACATGGATATCAGCACATGGCACAGGTGGATGCTGAAATACGTTCTTTTAATGATGATGGCCATGACCCCGAGCGACATGGAGAACGATTTGCTAGTGTGGACGAGTTCCGGTCGGCAGCAGACTGCATGGAGGGTTCTAGGGATACAGGCGCGCAGCTCTTCACAGCGCTTCTTCGCGCATTGGACATTGAGGCTAGGCTAGTAGTTAGTCTACAACCTCTTGGATTCGGATGGACCAAGGCCGAGACCCATACCCCGAAGTCCAAAATGGAGTCAGAACCTGGCACTGCAGAAGCAACAGAAACAGGAGCAGAGTTGGACGACGATGAGGAGAGTGACAGTGACTCCCCAGATAAAAATGCTTCATCTCGTCGAGCATATGACAGAGACCTGCCATTTCCTATCTACTGGACAGAGGTTGCATCTCCTATCACCCACCAGGTCATACCTGTTGATCCCCTTGTGCTCAAAAATCCCGTGGCGACGACACCAGAGCTACAAGCAACTTTCGAACCGCGCGGGGCAAAAGCAGAAAAAGCCAAACAAGTTATATGCTACGTGATAGCATACTCGCCAGATAAATCGGCCAAGGATGTCACAACACGGTATCTCCGCCGTCGCACATGGCCAGGAAAAACCAAATGCTACCGAATGCCAATCGAAAAGATCCCCGTCCCAGGTAAAAAAGGGAAGTTCTTCGAATACGATTGGTTCCGGGTGATATTCCGAATCTACCAGCGGCCTCAGAACCAGAGAACGCCAGTCGACGACGTAGAAGACACCCAAGACCTGACACCCAAACAACCAGAAAAGAAACTCGTCAAAGAAGGCGACACGCTGCAAAGCCTCCGCGCCTCCACAGAATTCGTCCTGGAACGCTTCCTCCGCCGCGAAGAAGCCCTACGCCCAGACTCCAAACCCGTCCGCACATTCACAACAGGGAAAGGTGTCAAAGCCAAGACAGAGGACGTCTACCGCCGCTCTGATGTAGTAAAATGCCTCTCCGCAGAAAGTTGGCACAAAGAAGGCCGGCAGACCAAAATTGGCGAAGCACCACTGAAACGCGTCCCCATCCGCGCCGTAACCCTCCTCCGTAAACGTGAAGTCGATGAGCTACAGCGCCAAACTGGCGAGAAGCCAAAACAAGGTCTCTACGCAAAATACCAGACCGAATACATCATTCCACCACCAATAGAGAACGGGATTATACCCAAAAACGACTACGGAAACATTGACTGCTTCGTTCCCTCCATGGTACCCCGCGGCGCCGTACATATCCCTTGGTCTGGGACCGTGCGCATTTGCAAGAAACTAGGTGTCGACTACGCCGAGGCAGTAACGGGGTTCGAATTCGGATCGAAAATGGCTGTTCCCGTTATCGAGGGCGTAGTCGTTGCAGAAGAAAACGAGGGCCTTGTCACGGATGCGTGGATGGCTGAGGAGGCTGAGAAACGCAAGAGGGAACAGCTCAAGGCCGAAAAACGCATCTTGCAGACGTGGAGGAAGTTTCTGTTTGGTTTGAGGATTGCGGAGCGCGTTAGGGAGGAGTATGGGGGTGCTATGGACTATGAGGAGGACGAGGCTAATCCATTTGCGAAGCAGATTAGACCTGGGGATCGTGAGCGTCAGGAAGAGACGGCACGCGAGGATGAAGTAGAAGGGGAGGATGAAGAAGATTCAGGCGATCGAGGAGGTGGATTCCTTCTACCGGGTGAGGATGATGGTGATGATGGGGGGTTGGTGGTAGAACGGCAGGAACAAGAAACTCGTCCACGGTCTGAATCTCACGCAGTTGAGATTAGTGATAGTGAAGGCGAAAGAAAGGCAGATGGTGGCGATGACGACGGTTTTGAAAGCGCAAAAGTCAATGATGAAAACTCCAGCTCCGTTGATGAGCTGCCTGACTCTGAAGAGGAATATCAGCCGCGAACGCGCAGACAAACGAGAAGCAGAAAGGGTTAATGACTGTTGCTGTGCAGGACAACAAGCTATGTATATTATACTTGCTCATGTTTTAAGGACGTCGTACAATGATTATCTCCCATTTACCCTAATACAATAATACCCCCGATACCCTATTCATCTTCGACGTATCGAAGGCGAACCAAACCCCCGTATCTCATCCTCATCCACGTCCATATCCAACTCCCTATCAACATCAACATCAGCCTCCGCATCCACATCCGTCTCCAAATCAAAATCCCCCAGCGGACTAACATGCACAACCGGAGAAGAAACAGGACTTTGCGCAATAAGTGGCCGCGACTTAAACACACTCGCATAATCCGCACTCTCCTCAAAGAGCTGATCCTGCGGAGTCTGCACCCTAGGAGGTGCTTTTTTCGGCGGAGTTTGGTATGGGTTCACGGGGAAGGACGTTCGGTTTTGGCGACGGGAGGATTTTTCTTCTGGTGGGAGACTGGGGCGTGGGGCGATAAGGGACATGGATTTGCGGGTTCGTTCGGCTAGGGCGAAGAGCCTGGGTTCAGGGTCTGGTTCGGTGAGGGTTATGCTGGGGGATGTGTAGTCAATGGAAGGCTGTGGGTCTATGTGATTGTTGTCGTCCGGGGACGGAATAGGTTCCGGCTCGGTTTCGATAGTTGGTGCGGATTCTTGCGGACGGGGACTAGGATCGTGCGATAGAGTGCTGGTGACAGGCTTTGCGGGCTTAGGAGATGTCTGGGATTTCGTTTCCCCTAAAGACGAGCGCGTCTTGCCGTCGATGCGCGCGAGTGCATCATTCATAGAAAGCAGAAGGGATTGGTCTTGCTGAGTAGGTTTAGCACGACTCTCAGGCTCTCGAACTGCCTTAGCGATACTGGCAACAGTGAGCGCCTGGTGGTCTCTGAAAACCACTGAACTGTTCCTTGCAGCATTGGCCGAGGGGAACGAGTCCACATTGGCCGGTCCATTCTCCTGGGTTGCATTGCCGCTATATTCGCGCCATCTGCTCAGTCGATCCCGTTGGCGCGATACCCGCGATTCAAGATCAAGTAAGAGATCGCGAGAGGAACCGGCTTTGAGATCTTCTACGGTTGATTCTTTCGCCTTTGCCCAGGCTTTTGCGAATGGTAATTCCAGGAACGCATCGCTGCTGCTCTGCGATCCACCATAAAGCAGGTCGTTTGCCCATTCTTTGCTACCCAGCCAATTTGTCTGCATCTGCTCCGCGAAATGTCCGAAATCCGTCGGTTCGTCAGGGACTGACCGCGGGTTGTCCTGAGACTGTTGTTCCAACTGAACTTTCTTTTTATCCAGTAATTGCGAAAATTTGTCATATGTATTCAAAACGCGAGTGCGACGCTCCCCGGTCGATCCAAGCGAGACCCGATGCGCCAGGAGAAGAGGTAGCGCAAGCTGGTAATCCTCAGGGGAAATACCATTCGCCAACGACAGCATTAGAGCTGGGTTCAACTGTCTCCTGTCAAGCGAGGCGGTCAAGACTTTACGCAGAACCGCTGTAGAGAAAACAGCCAGCAGCTCATCAAATTTCTCCCCCTTGCAGTCGTCCAACATCGATTTGCGTAGTATTGTTTCCTTTCCCAGGTCGCCATTTTTCTTTATATCTGACAGCACCCGAAACAAAGCGGCACGGAGGTTCACCGACTGTAATGCTTCCAACGGAGGGAAAAAAGGGCGTAGTTTCTGGTGTCACATCGTCCGGTCAGCTGGTTCCGTTTGATTGTATCTGTAACTGATAGGCCTTGCTCTCTCGCGTTTATTGGCATGGACATACATCATGTGTTACTTCCGGATCCCAGATTGCGCAGAGATGATACAATGCCCACTCCACAGTTTTTATGCGCTGGCGTTGGTTCTGCGACGAGGGCGATAGGGCACGAACGCTGATGCCCGGCCAGTCTTGGTGGTGATGGAGGTTCAGGAATTGGAGATTGCGGACGAAGACGGAGAGATGAGAGGGGGTCGACCACGGCAGAGGTTTTGGTCTGGAGGTGTTTGACGAATACATCTTGAAAAGAGAATAATCAGAGAGATGTGAGTGGTAGAAACGAGGTGGTCGTTGAGCTCCGTATAGAAATGGCGGAGTATGTGTTTGCACTGTTTGGTTGGGTGCCGATCTTATTGTCTTCTCTTCCCTTTTTCTCTTTCTGTCTTTCGCTTTCTTGTATTGCAGCGTCTTTTTCCTTTTCTTTTCTTTTCTTTTTTTTTTTTTTTTTTTTTTTTTTTTTTTTTTTTTTTTTTGAGCTTTCGTTCTCTTAATTTCTTATACAGCCTTTTGGCTATATCAACACTGCCAATATCCATTGTTTTATTACTGTATAATCTAGTCATCTTCTACGTTCGTTCAAGTATCTCACTACTACCGTCGTCATGGGCTCTGAAGCACCATCCGACCCCGTCTGGACCACCAAGTCAGGTAAGACCTTTATTTGACTCACTGTTCAGTGCATTGTATTGTGGGATCATGAACGCTGACAACCCAGTCCTGGCGTCTCTCCCGCACCCGCCCGAAGAAAACTCCCCCTCACCGGTCCCCTTCTTCCACCTTCTCGAACGCCTCAAGACCACCAAACGTGAAGGCTGGCGCCGATTTGGAATCGACAAGGGCGAATCTATCTCCGACCACATGTACCGCATGTCGATCATGACGATGCTCGCTCCGCCGTCTCTCGCATCCCGCCTCAACCTACCCCACTGCATGAAGATGGCGCTCGTTCACGACATGGCCGAGTCGCTCGTGGGTGACATTACACCGAAAGACAAGGTTACCAAACCGGAGAAGGCCCGACGCGAAGCGGATGTGATGGAATATATTTCGAAGAATCTACTGGGTGGTGTACCTGGTGGAATGTTGACTGGGGAGGGTATCTTGCAGGTGTTCAATGAGTACGAGGAGAACCAGACGCTGGAGGCGCAGTTTGTGCACGACGTCGACAAGATGGAGCTTCTTCTGCAGATGGTGGAATACGAGCGGGCTAATGATATCGACCTGACTGAGTTCTGCCACGTCGCTTCGCGCATTCAGTTGCCCGAGACACAGGAGTGGGCGGCGACGGTACTCAAGGAACGGGAGATGTTTTGGAAGAACAAGACTGATGCGAATGGTACGAACGCATGAAGGGTGATAACTTCTCCATGGATGACTTGATGCATTTCTTTTTCTCATACTATTGTCTTGGGCGTTCGGGTTTGGGTTTTGGTCGATGCCATCGTCTATCGATGAGTAGTGGACGGTACCATGGGTTAGGTAGCATCAATATGGGGTTCTTGCATCGTTATTATATACTAGTTGGCGTGCAATTGAACATGGGAACATTAGCATACAAGCATGCTCTGCTCCGTCTATACGTGGACATTCAATCCAGCGGCTCCTTCTCCATCTCCCTTGCCAACATGGTAGCCTCGGCCTCCATCTCCTCCATACCCCTTGGTTTCCTCGCATCATTATCAACAGCCGGGAAATTTGTCCGTCTCCCACCCTCATCATCTTGCGCTAGCTGCTTCTTCACCTCCTCTGTGACCGATCCCGACCTGGACCCATTCCCATCCCTGGATCTCGCAGCAGCAGCAGCAACCTCCTTTTGAATCCTCCCCACATCCCCCTCCTCCCCATCCAACTTGTCATAAATCGCATCCGTCCCCCCCAAATGATCCAAATCGCTCCTCTGCCTCGGAATAACATGCGCATGCACATGCGGCACGCTCTGCCCCGCATCCACCCCGTCCTGGATCGCAATATTCAGACTACTCGCACCATATACGCGCTCGATCATCCGACCTACACGGCGGACTGTGAGGAAGAGGTCGGTTGTTTCGGAGGGGGTGAGGTCGGCGACGCGGGGGACTATGCGGCGCGGGGAGACTAGGACGTGGCCCGGGAGGATGGGCTTGAGGTTTACGAGGGCGAAGGTTGTGGGGGTTAGGTGGAAGACCTGATTTTTTTTTGATATTAGGTTAGTTGGAGGGTTGAATTGGGGGTTATAGTAGTTTAGGTGAGGGACAGTACCTGGGTGGTCACAACGAAGGGTCCGAAATGGATAGGTGGAATGCCTATGAGGGCGGGTGGCATTGTGGGTTGTTCGGTCATGTATTTATTGATTTTATGGGTTGAGTTTGAGGTTTCTAATTAGTATACAGGGGTGTGCCGGAGTTTGGGTGTTGAAGAATAAATCCTTGAAGCTGTTAGGTGTTGTTCGGTGTTGTTGCTCGGAGACGGTCGATCTGAGATATTACCCAATACAGCACACCATACAGACCAATTGGGGAATCCAGGCATCATCATTCAATTTCAAAAAGTATTAATGTCATATCCAATATTACAGTGCCTATGTTCACAAAAAAATTAAAGCTATCATACAGGGAAATCGTCAGAAACATGCAAGTTATAACCGTAATCCATGTCATAGAAACAGAATCATCGTAAAAAGAAAGGATGAAGATTTTAAGCCTCTTTAGCCAGTTCCGGTTCGGTCTCAGATTTGGCTTCCTTGACTTGTTCTGCTGGTTGCTCTTTCTTTTCCTCTGTCTCTGTCTTAGTCTCTGTCTCCGGCTTAGACTCTAGATCTGCTTCCTGCTCCGCCGCTGGCTCCGTCGCTGGCTCCGACATGGGCTCCAACGTGGGCTCTAGCTCTGCTATCGGCTCTAGTTCCAAAATAGGCTCCGGTGTAGGCTCTGGCGCTGGCTCTAAGGAACGTTCCTCTGCAGCTGGGAAGGGTTCGATCTTTTCTTCCGGTTTGCTCGTTTCGGGCTCTGTCTGCGGCTCCTTGGGTTGGCTGGGTTCCGCTTGCTCTTCCGTAGGCCGTGGTTGCGACTCCTCTTCCGGCTCAGTCGTCTCAGGTTCCTCAAGCTTAGATTCCTCGGGCTTGCGCTCCTCTGAATTGGGTTCCTCGCTAACCTCCTGCTCGTAAATAACGATGTTATCGCCGTTGGGCTGCTCTGTCACTTCCCGAGGCTCCTCGAGCGCAATGGTAGTCTCCTCGCCTTCTTCTTCTTCTTCTTCTTCTTCTTCTTCTTCTTCTCCTTTTCTATCTTCGGTTTCCTTCTCTGGAGCAGCGTCCTCCTTCACCTCCAATAGTTCGGCTTTAGAATCCTCATGATCCTCAGCGCTCTCAGCGATAGTAGCAACGCGTGAACCAGTGGACGGAGAGTGTTTATGACGTCGTGCAGTAGCGCTAGCGTCGCCGTCCTTGGATCCTTCATCTTCTTTTCGCAATATCGTAACTCGTGGTCCTTCAGCTGGCTTCTTCGTGGGTTTCTCTGCAGCCGGCTCGATGCCCTCTGCCTCCGCGGGAACCGTGTAGCTATCCTCCGGCATAAGATGATACACATCGCAAACCGTCTTGAAGAAAATATAAAGTCCCTCGTTACCTTCCACATGCCAGAATACCTCTCGGTGCTTAAACCAAGCATGCGCGAAGATACGATACACCCGACGGAAGATGTTGACCAAGTGTCTCATGCTCGCCTGCGGACCACCACTCGCTTCCGAGCCCAGCGTCAACCGACTCGGGAAGTGTTTCGGAGAGGTAAGGATGTTCGTAGCCCAGTCGAGCGTGTGGCAGCAGTAATCGATAGCACAGCAGGTCTTGGGGGGATCGTGGACGGCGCAGAGGTACTGCCATTCGGACGCTTGCATTTCGGGACACGTCTGGATGGAGCAGGGAGGATTCTCGGCGAAGAAGGCAACGATAAGGTTGTTGACCTTCATGGTGAGGAAGCGGCATAGTTCATAGAGCCAGAGCGCCCGGTCGACACCTTCAGGGGGTTCCGCAAGCTGGATCGCGATGTCGCGGTGGATCGGAATGACTGTTTCGGAGCCTTCAGGTCGGGTATAGTGGTTGTGCAGGGCTTTTAGGTGTTCTTGAAGCTGGAACGGGGAGTCGAGCTGTTCATCTCTCGTTAGCACATAATTGCCGAATGCAACTCTTTGTTTGCCGTCGGAGTCAACCAACCTGCGCGAGAGGAATCAATGGCGGACCAGCAGCCATATCAATTGCCTTACTCCCGAGTCGAACCCTTCGCGTCGCACTAACTTCATCGTTGTTGTTGTCCGGGGTGTATCCTAGTGGTTGCCCTGCATCCTGGCCGGAGGACTCGTCGCCGACCGACGGAGACGGGGAGTCAATTTGGACCTCTGTGAGCGGCGGAGGACTGGGTAAGCGCGGGGAGGTTGACGATTGGACTCCCGCGGTTGCCATTGTAGAAAGAGATTCTATAAGGGAAAGAGGGGGAAAGAAATAGGGGTGTAGCGAACGAGTGACGGGCGGGATTGAAGCTGAAGATAACCCGATATGGAAAACTGTATCAAACAAACCAAACCCAGTGACCGGGGAAGCCCTATGCCCTAGTGCATCCTCTCTGGGCAACGTCATCCATCGTCTCCGCTGACATCTCGAATCTGTACGCGCATCTTATTTAGATCATTTGGCTTGAAGGAAGAGAAAAATATGGCAGGCATAGAAGATGATGATACACCTCCCGCGCTGGTCGATGTTTCGGTGAATCCGATCTCGTCCACGCCAACTACGACAACAGACACTCCGGCGCAGAGTCGAGTGCCGATCACGCTGGTGACTGGTATACAAACACCCGATATCTGGATTAAAGAGAAGGAAATAAACTAACTAACGTATATAGGATATCTGGGCGCGGGGAAGACAACATTGCTGAATTATATTCTTACGAAAAAACATGGAAAAAAGATAGCCGTGATCATGAATGGTTTGTTTTCCGGAACATGAATCTAGGACATCTATACTAAGTTTTTTTTTTTTTTTTTTTTTTTTTTTTTTTTTTTTTTTTTTTTTTTGTAGAATTCGGAGACTGTGAGTACCCAAGCTCGATCAAGACTATAAAAACTGCACAGATCAGTAACCATATAAATCAAAGCTTCCGACATCGAAAAACCTCTTACCGTCAACGAAGATGGAAAAGAAGTTACCGAATGGATGGACGTCGGAAACGGCTGCATCTGCTGCTCTGTCAAGTAGTCCCCCCATAAATACCCTAATCCCTTTCCAGAGGTCGACTAACAAGAACAGAGATTCTGGCGTCATGGCCATCGAATCATTAATGGAACGCCGCGGCACATTCGACTACATTCTCCTTGAGACCACCGGTCTAGCAGACCCCGGCAACATCGCCCCCGTCTTCTGGGTCGACGATAACTTAGGCAGCTCTATCTACCTCGACGGGATCGTCACACTCGTCGACGCCAAGAATATCCTCCATCTTCTCGACCAGCCGGCGCCGGAAGAGATCGCTTCTTCGGGACATGGTGGTGCACCTGATGGTAAAAACAACGGACATGAGCATGGGCACAACGGCCCTGTGCTATCCATGGCGCATATGCAAATCTCACACGCGGATGTGATTGTCCTCAACAAAGCAGATCTAGTAACCCGGGAGGAATTGGAGATCGTTCGTGACCGTATCTCAGCGATCAATAGCGTCGCCAAGATCCATGTTACGGACCACAGCAAGACGCCGCAGATTGAAGGCGTTGTGTTGGACTTGCATGCATATGATCATCTCGCTAGCCTGGACTTTGGTGAAAAGGGCCATAGTCATATTGATCCGGTATACCATTTCTCTCAAAGAGCTCTTTTGATGCAAGATACTGACGGATACAGGCTATCTCAACTGTCTCAATTATAACACCCCCAATCCCCGCCGACAAAGTCTCCCGCATAGATACCTGGCTGCAGTCTGTCCTTTGGGATTCTAAGCTCCCCCTTCCTGCTCCTTCCAGCCCATCCCAGGCTCAACCTACCGATTTCGAAATCCATCGCTTAAAAGGTATCCTGGCACTGAGCGACGGCGAGAAATCAACAAAGATTATCCAAGCGGTCCGGGATATTTTCGAGATTAGAGACTCGGAGCAGGTGCCACAATCTGACCCTGAGAAACCTGCTTGCTGTAAGATTGTGCTTATTGGTCGGGGGCTGGGGACGGATGCGAAGCCGTGGCAGGAGAGTTTTGAAGCTTTCTTGGTGGGTGATGAATAGGTTTTAGGGTTATGCTGCATTTTCGATTACCAGGTGGTACATTATCATATTTAAAGCTAAAATACACGATTCATGTTTGTAATTGATCCCGCATGTCCCACTAGGCCACTATATTTACTTGGCTGCCATATCCCATACCGTAGGTATGTACCGCAGTGGAATATATGCTAAAATCCTATCAACTCCTGTCCGTCTTCTCTAACCCATTACTCTTTCATCGTAAATTTAGGCCTGGATAAACCTCTGTTTTTTGACTGGCGCTGTCCCGTCCAAAGTAGGAAATCTCACAAAGTTCTCACCAGTCATAAGCCTTGATGCCGGATAAAGTGCCCAGATCTAATGGCTGCAAGAAACGAGAACAATGTGCAGGTAGAAGAAGTAATCAATGATGACCTTGTATTGATACATGATGGATCTCGCAATGCAGGCTTCCCCCGACCAGGATTTATCAGCAGCGAAGTGAGCATCTAACAGCTCGGATGTTCCGGCCATCTTCCAACAAAAGCCCCTTTTGCTAGGGTTTCAACCTGCCCCAATTACTTATCAAAACGGTGACAAGCTCGACCGCGGGTTTGGAGACGACATGGATAGCTGTGGCATGCTTGAACCATAGTAGGCACAGCGAGGGCAGACGGGAATCCCACTACCTCTTCGCAGTAAGGCACCGCAGAACGCCTTCGTGGGCTGCCTTGAATTCGATGTCCTTCCCGCGCTTTGTAAAGGCTTGTCATTTAAGCCGTTATCTCCAGAACCCATGCATAGCACGACGTACGTGAGTTATTTCGTGTAGTAATATGCATCGAACTTTCTGATATTTGATGATATTGGGCTTCAATCCCCATCATAAACATTAAGACACACCTACAACAATGCAGGAACAGCTGTGGATGCAAGCACATACATATGCAAGCAATGTATGCCAAAATCCCCCTCAGCCTTGTTTTCTGAGGGATTTTAATTGGCACTGGTGGCTTTCTTCAGTTTGCGCTCGTGGTGGTTACCTGAAGAGGAAGGACAGACATAGAGAAGGAATGGAGATTGGGGAGAAGGTGGAGGACGTTAGTCCCTAATTAGTTAGAAGTAAATTAGGACCTTTTTTTTCTTGGCACATGGTGCATATATTGCTTGCATAAGTGAATCACGTCTATTCTATGGGACAAGAATGGGAGAATGCTAAGACTAATACAGTCCTGATGGAAGGAGAAGTGAAGTATTGACACCAATCAATCAACCAACCAATCAACCAATCAACCAATCAACCAATCAACCAATCAACCAATCAACCAATCAACCAATCAACCAATCAACCAATCAACCAACAGATCGCTGAGAACACAAGGAAATACAAATAGACATAGGAAAGCGTATCGTCGTCAAGAGTGCTTCAATATTGGGAATATAATAAGAAAAAACATAATCAAAACAGAGACAAATAGGTGAAAATAGGTGAAAATCAAGTCCCAAGTCCAAAACTCCATAGCCAAACTCCGTCGCCATTAATAACAATTTCAAGGTCGAGAGGCCATTTCGCGCCCTCCAATTAGTTTTTGTTGTTGTTGTTGTTGTTTGTATTATTCGTATTTGCATCTGTATTCGCTGCTTGTTTCCTCAAGAAATCCAACGGATCTACCCGAGGAACAAGCTGCATGGAAGCCTCGATGGGCTTCGGTTCCTCCTCGACGGCCTCCGGAGATACAGACCGCGTTTTCTCGCCATCAGACTGAATATAGCTGACACGACGCGGCCCGGTGTCAGAATGAGACTGACGGCTCATTGACGAGTACCCATCATCCTGTGGGTGCTGTTGGCCCGGGGATTGGGGTTGCTGGCTCTCCTCGGCGGAACCAGCCCGCGAATGAAGATAAGCAAACCCATTCTCCAAAGGAGGATGAGGATGGGGATGAGGATGGCTGGTGCGTGGCCCGACGCCCATGCCTGTGGGCGGTGGTGGGTAATACACCATCGGCAATGCGTGCGATGTTGGAGGTATAAAGGGTGGGAAGAGGGTCAAGAGCTCCTTGGCCGAGAGTCTTTGCTGAGGGTATGGACTCATGCAAATGGCGACCAGTCTTCGATAGTAGTCTGGGATGTCTATGTCCTCGGGGATGAGCAATGGACGGCATTGTCGTTCGGGCTCATCATTCTCAGTTGCGACGGCCCACAGGGTCATTCCCAACTGGAAGAGATCTGTTTTGACACCAATGTACATGGAGATCCGCTGCTTGCTTTCAAGCTTAGCCACAATCTCCGGCGGCTCCCAGCCGACAGGGCAACCGCGGCGATTGATATCAATGATCTTTGCGTCGTCGTTGCCATCAAGCACGATGTTCGACAGGGTAAAGTCACCTTGCACGAAGCCGGCTTCGTGGATTTCAGCCAAGCCCTGGACAATCTGCTTCGCCCAGCGTTCCCGTCGCTTCCACGGGATGGTGTTTTTGCCGTCGCGGTAGTAGAGCATGTCAACCAAAGCTCCCTTGTCTGCGTAGCCGATCAACAGACCCTTGATAACCTGGCGCTCCTCATCCATCACAATAGCCTCGAGCTGAATGACATTCTGCGCACCCAGGAGTTCGTGAAGCGCGTTAATTTCGTAGAGAAACTCATCGACCATATCGGGGCCGGGGATTTCCTTCTTTATAAAGGATCGACCGTTCAGTTCCACATGGTAGACAAATCCAGATTCATGTCTCACGAAATGTAAATGGTCCTCAGACACAAGCTTGATCCCTGGCAAATGCCCAATGTGAAAAATTGCGGGATAGGCAATAGTCTCGTTCACGTCCTCCGTCACATGCACATGCAGACGGCCATCTCGAGTCTCCAACTTCAGATTCGTAACTGTGTCGTAGAACTGGATCTCAGCCAGTGATTCGCGGAGAGACTCGTAAATGCGTGCGCAGCGATCTTTCTGATTCCACATTTCACTCAGATCTTGTTCCAGCGAATCCGGCTCTGGACTGCGGTAGTCACACGAGACGGTGACCCGGCGCCAGAGCGTAGGGGTCTCAGCATAGGTGACGAACAGTTTCTCGCGCCGCGAGCGGTCACGGAAGTGCATGGTCAGGTTCAAGATCCATCTCTTCTCCAGCTCCATTTCGATAATGCGACTCTCCTCGGCGGGATCCATAGTCTCCATGTTTGGGTCTGATTCCGGGGGACGACAGCTCCGCTCGGACCGGAGATCACTACGGTCATCAACGTCCTCTGTATGGTTGGGGTGATTGTGATTTGCTTCAGAAGATTCGTCAACCATGGTTCGCTCCGTTGCTTCCTCCGGTTCTGTTGTTTTTTCTGTTGGCGCCGTAGTTTCGGATTCCTCTGCGGCTTCTGCTATCACTGCTGATGCGTCCTCTCCCTCTCCGTGTTTTTCGCTTTGCTCGCGCCATTGCATTTCGGGGGCGGACGTCCGCGGGCCCGGAGCGGGCTGTGGAATTTTGGTCCCCTGGGTCTGAGAACTGACAGGGCGGCGCCGGTCGGCGGACGCGGCACGGCGGGGTTCGGGCGGCTCGAAGGGTTCCAGACGATCTCTCTGTTCGGAGACCTGGCGTTTGAAGGTGGTAGCACGGGGCAGGCCGACACCAACCCGGCGCGTCAATCTGCGAGTCATGTTCTCATGGGGTTTGACATTGGCGGTGCTGCCATTGGGTGTAGTGTCAGGAGAGGAAGCGCCGGGGACGGGATAGGATTGAGGACGGGATTGGCAGGGCGAACAGGAAGAGGAAGTATCGCGTTGTTCACGACCTAGCAACTTGCGCAAGCCCAGGCGATGCCACATACTATGCTTGGCCTTTTTCTTCTTCGGAGGGGGGAGAGAGGCTTTTCGGTCCGGTTCAGGACAAAGACTCAGAGAAGGGCGCCGCGAGGGGCTAGAAGAAGACGAATCTGCGATTCTGATGGCCATTCTGCAGGTTTGAATCACTGGTGGCTGGTGGTGAAAGAGTCAAAGAGGACACCCTGCAGGTTGAGGGTACAGGGGGTGTGTCCATAGAAATTGAGACGAAGGCGTAGACAATGAAGAGATGCAGGTGATACAATTCGAGTCGCTGCGATAGAAGTTCCAGAAGGAATGGAAGAGAGAGAGGAGAGAGAGAAAGAGGCTCGAGTCTTTCAGTCAGGAGGCTGGGGTAGCGTGAGGCTTTTTTTTTTCCCTCTCTTGGTGGTTTTGTTTGTTGTGTGTTATTGCTCACCACCAAAAAGGAAAAATAACAGAAAAATAATGGAAAACACAGTTGGAGTCAGAATGAAAGATCAGAATTTTTTTTTCGCAGAAATTGTCGTTGGTGGAAGATAATTGGAAGAGAGAGAGGGAGAAATGAGTGATTTGAGAGTCGGTGAGGATGTTGTATAGCACTTAGTAGTATCGAGTATGGAATGACACTTTTAGCATAAAGGCACCACCATCTCCTCAAAGGAAAGAAAAACAACACAAATGTAGTTGGCAATAGAGGAAATGGTCTGATATAAGAATATATTTGTTCAAAAAGGAGAGAGATGAAGTTGGAGGTCACCACTTGGACAGCCCTCAATCCATGTCCAAGACAGCGAAATAGATCAAAATTAATAGAAATCGATAGAAATAACAGAAGGATCGAAATATCTCCGATGATCTTCTGCCTGTCGTCAGAGTAAAATATAAAATGTAATAGTCTTGTGAACCGTTGGTCGAGTTAGAATTGCAATGCAATTCTGCACTGAAGAACTCAGCGCCGAAATGACAAGAGGATGCCATTTCTTCTTATTATAAGACGCACCACGATGCAGCCATAAAAACACCGCTATTGACTATCCAGTTATGGATACAGCTACATACATACATACACATACAACATACAGGGCTCATCTCTTAGAATTAGCTCTCAAAGTCAGTCATCTTACAAGTAGACCGCTAAGTACGATGCACAGCGGCCTGACACAGCCATGCCTGATGTACATCCTCTATAACTATGTTCGACCTGGCTCTTCGGGGACCTGGAGTTTTTTTATTTTTTTTTATTTTATTTTTTTTATTTTATTTTTTTTTGACAGGCAAGATCTTTATCTGTGCGGTGACCGTGTACTGGTACTTGGGTATACGGAGTACGTAGGAGGGTCCAGTGGGCAGTACTCCGGATATCGCCATGCATCGGGAATACCTGGGTCTCCATATAATCCACCTATGACTCAATGTCACTTCGATGTCATATCACTATTGATCGTCTACGCAGTCCGCGTATTGAGGATATCCCATGAATGCCTCTGTGTTGATTAACATCCCAGACATACTTGATTATATCACAGCCAAGTTGGTTATATCAATCTACCATACTCTTGGGTCTGCTGTATCGTATCTGCTATATGAATCACCGTCCCCATCCACTACTGTAGACTTCCTGCAGCTGCACACTCCAAGGACCTTCTCGAAGCATGGAAACAGACAACTGTCATATGTATTATGACATTTCCCATTACCCCGACAACAATAGAAATAAAATACATACCACGAAATAAACCATCGCAATCCCAACCGATGGTATTTCATGCGTTGATTCAACTCGTTGCAATTCCAAATATCCCGAGTAACGCTCTAACCGCCCAACAACCCAAACATGCAATTGTAAGGAATAGGAAAAGAATAGTACGGAGTAAACAAGGTAACAATACCCCTCCAAGGGTTCGTTTCAAAGTGATGCTCCGGCGATGCGTCCAATCACAACTCGCTGGCGCTCAGATTCGACTCGGTGGGCATATCATAAAACGGTGGGTATTCGGCTGCATTCGGTTTCATCGCTTCGACTGGCTGACAGGTAACATGGGGACACGAAAAATCTCTCGTGTGGCTTTTCGTTGGTGGAGGAAGTCAAGGTTTTCATCTTCTGATTCTGGCTACATTTGCATCGTTGAGTTTTGACAGTTGGATGAAATCATGAGTCCATAACGGGGCTCCGAAATTCAATCAATCGTCGACGCCCACACATACACTTACATACAACTGAACTCTTGTACACATACATAGCCAATACATACAAATAAAATCCGCTCTCATACACACCTCTTTTTTCTAGATCAGCCAATGCCCTTCCGGTGCGGTGGCAGCTTTCCCCCGTGGTCTTCCTCGGTCCTTCGGTTATCGCCATCGACAATGACGGTGACGATGGCCAGCTCAGGGTGTCTCCAATGCAATGTTGATTTCTCTTTTTTGCTTTTTCTTGTGTTGAATTTTTTTTTTTTTCTTTTTCCGAAAGTGGAGTGATTCTTCAGAATTTTCCTCAAGCCATAACAGCTCACTGGACATGTGCAGAATATCCGACGCTTGTAGAAAATAAGATGACCAGAATTCTATACCATCCTCATAGTCTGCGAAGCGGCGACAACAAAAGAGGAATAATAAGGAAAATCGAGAAGAAAACACAAAAAAACTCCGATCCATGCATTTCCATGATGAAAACGCCATGTACAGCTAAGGATACACAGTGGCCCCCAAACAAAATAAGATACAGGAAATCACAAGATCATGGCAACAAAACAGAGTGGAGTATATACCAACACATAGAAGAAAAGAAAAAAAAAAAAAAAAAAAGAGAAAATGGGCGCAAACGGAGAAAAATAGGACCCACGAGTCAAAGACTGGACCCTGGACCCTTCCAACGTGACCAGTTCAATTAATCCAATTCATCTTCGTCAGCCTTGGACTTCTTGGACGACGTATCGGTAAGCTGCTTCTGCCACACATGGCGGGCCGCTTCCTTGTCCAACTTGGCAAAGAGAATGTCAAACACGTCCGAATACCAGCTCACAGGGTGACCTTCAATGCCGTCCTTGATGTTCTATAATCGGAAAAAAGGTTAGCCAGCAGACCCTGTTACACTCGGCATCCTTGCACTCGATCCACATTGTTGCGAACAGACGAGGGTAAAAAGCACGATGAACTCACCTCAGGAAGCTCCAGCCAGTCAGACATGTTGTCTGCAGGGAAAATGATGTTCGTGGCGCCAGCACGGCGGGCCGCCACGGTCTTCTCGCGCAGACCTCCGATACGCAGCACCTTACCCGTGACCGTCAATTCTCCGGTCATAGCAATGGTCGGCGCAAGGGAGTGGTTCAATGCTAGCGATAAAAGTGCGCTGGCCATCGTAATACCAGCCGAAGGACCTATGACGCAATGTTAGTTTTCTTCGTCAAGGGTAGCTTGGGCAAGGATCAATAACATACCATCCTTCGGCACAGCTCCCTCAGGACAATGCATATGCAGCTTGGCTTTTTCAAAGAACTTGTTCTCCGGGAATCTCGTGGCCATGACCGACTTGGCAAACGAGTATGCGATCTGACTCGACTCCTTCATGACACTTTGGAGGTTACCCGTGATATCGACACCCGGTCGTGACTTGGGAGTCAAAGCGTTCTCCAAGATAGATTCCACATACAGCGCGGCGCCGCCCATGCTGGTCCATGCAAGACCCATTGTCACGCCAGGTGGGAAGGTGTCATACAGACGATCCGTCGTGTAAACTGGGGGCCCAACATAATCCTTAAGGCTATCCTTACCAATATTGAGGTGCACACTGTCAGGAACCTTCAATGCGAGGCGTGGGTGCTCTGTCGTCGCTTTCTCTGGTTCGAGGGGCGGCTCTGCAGGGTCATTCGTTGTCGGGTGATCCTGATGTTCCTTCTTCGTTTCCTCTTGTGCAGCCTTGCCTTCATCGGTGATAGCCTTCTCTTCCCCAAGTACATCCTCACCAAGGTCCTGGACAATCTTGAATGCAGCCTTGCGATACACCTTCTCGATCTGCTTCTTCAAGTTTCGCACACCACTCTCACGGCAGTACGACTTGATGAGTTCTTCAATCGCATCCTGCTTCAAGGTGACATCGACATCTTTCAGACCAGTCAGTTCTTTCGCGGCGGGAGCCAGGTACCGGTCTGCAATGGCCATCTTCTCATCCGCAACGTATCCTGAGAGCTCGATGATTTCCATCCGATCGAGCAGCGGCCGAGGAATTGTGTCAGTGATGTTGGCTGTGCAGACAAAGAGAACCTTGGACAGGTCCACCGGGACATCCATGTAATGGTCCAGGAAAGAGTTGTTCTGCTCGGGGTCAAGGAGCTCCAGAAGTGCGGACGATGGGTCACCTTGGTGACCGCGACCGATCTTGTCCACTTCATCAATCAGGACGAGTGGGTTCTCGGTCTGGCACTTCTTGAGTGCTTGAATGATGCGACCGGGAAGCGCACCAACGTAAGTCCTCCGGTGTCCCTTGATCTCAGCAACATCCGTCAAACCTCCAACGGAGAATCGGTAGTATTGTCGGTTGAGCGCGCGAGCGATCGACTTTCCAATACTAGTCTTTCCGACACCTGGAGGTCCGACAAGGCAAAGGATCTTGCCTTCGACAGTGCCACGAAGTTTGCCAACAGCAATGAACTCGAGAATCCGGTCTTTGACATCCTTCAAGCCGTAGTGGTCTTCATCCAGAACTGTAGTCGCATTCTTGATCCCGAAGTTCTCTACACTCTTCTGACCCCATGGGATCTGGGTTAGCCAGTCCAAGTAATTGCGGGTAACGTTGAACTCAGACGCGGCGGGCTCCAGGTGCGCCAGTTTGTTGATCTCCTCGTCGAACACTTTCTTGACTGCCTCAGGCATTGCAAGCTTTTCTGCCTTCTCCTTGAATTTCTCGACCAGCTTGTCTTTGCCATCGGATTCGATGCCCAGCTCTCTCTTGATACCCTTCATCTGCTCCATCAACCAGTATTCGCGCTGTCGTTTTTGGATCTTGGCCTCCACATCCTTCGAGATCTTGGATTGAAGCTGAGCATTCATCAATTCCTTCTTCAGCACCACGAGCGCCTTCGGCAGTCGCTCCTCAATGTTCATAATTTCGAGAACCTCTTGCATCTCGTGTAACTCTCCCGCGGAGACCGCTGCGGCAAAGTCGGCCAGTTTAGCTGGCTCATCGCTGAGGTTTCCGGGGAATTGGTCGGTGTAGAAGGCAGAGATTTGGTCTCGGAACAGGGGATTGAGGCTAGCAATCTCCTTGCAAACGTTGACAATTTCGCTCGTAACGGCACGGATGATGGCACTCTTCTTATCAAAGGGCTCCTCCGCCATGTTCTCCACGTTGACCAGGCTGACTGGGTATTTCCGTAGGAAGGACGTTGGCTCGTAGTGATCCTTAGGTGTCGATTCGGGGGTACTTTCTTCAAAGCTAGCGACCACATCGCCTCGCTTCTCTGTGGCCTTGTCCTCCAAAGTAGAAGCTTTCGTCTGATCAGAGGGCGGCAGCAGCGACGAAATCTTAATGCGCCGGTGGGGATAAAGCACAGCGGTCACGCCGTTGGCTTCACCCCGAAGTGGGTACGCAGCAGTGATCTGAGCAAACACACCAGTATCATAAACGTCTTCGAGTTTCTCAATCACGTCACCGTCGGCATTTTCGTCCTTGAACAGAAAAGCGCCAACGTAAGGCTGTCCTCGTTTCATCATATCCTGAATGGCGACTGCCACGTTCGGGTCCTTGATGGTGATGGCCTTGTAGAAGCCCGGGAACAGTGGGCGCTTGGCGATAGGGATCGCCATCACCTGGGGGTAGACTTCAGGGACTGATGGCTTCTGCAAGGCTTTATCATTAGATCCCTTCTTTCCCTTCTTGCCATTGCCACCATCTTCGTTGCCGCCATTGCTCGCGCCGCTAGGTCTCGAGTCCGATGAGCCGTTGCCATTGACGGGGATTGGCGATGGGGTATCCGTCGAATCTCCCTTTCCTTCCACGGCATTATTATCCTTCTTCACATTTTCGTCGACAGCCTGGCTCTCCTTGTTTGCGGTGGACTTATCTTTCCGCCGTGCGGATCCCGATGTCGGAGCTCCCGGTTCTGGTGACGAGCCACGCTTCCCTGACGAGCGATCTGTCGTTTTGCGTCGAGATTCAGAACCTTGTTCCACGTCTTTCTCTTCGTTGTTATCTTTTTGCTCTTTGGATTCTGGGTCAGTTTTGTCATCACCCGGCGGAGGCTTTTCCCGCCGTCGGATGGAGCTCGACGAGAAGGTGCGAGGAGAGGATGGAAGAGAGCGAGAGACTCGCGAAGCGATTAGAACTGAACGGAGACTGGCATGACATCTCGAAGATGCAAGCAGAGGTCTAGCAGCGAGGGGACGCGATGTTTGTTGGAGCGCGGCTCTCCAGGGGAGTGTCTGGCCGCGGAGCATGCTATATGTATGAGGGGAAGGCGATGGGGAACGAGAACAGAGGGTATTGGGTAGGGGTTTTAAAATAAGAAAACAAGATAAACCCTCCTATCAATAACAGTGGTAAAGCCAGTAGCAAAAGCAAGAGAGCAATTAATGCAAAGCAACAATGCGGCAACTTGTCGTGTGAAGAGATCCCAAGGTCGATTACCGAAGCATCGCGGGCTTTCATCATCGCCGGTGTTTCTGTTTCTCCGTAACCCGAGTGGGAAACTTTTTCGACTCGAAGCTTCTGTCGGCCTCAACGCTGGATTAGTGATCCGGAGTCTATGAGTCGTCCGGTACTCCAGGTTTTCATTTCGTCCGTCCATTCAGCATTATCGATTTAACTCGATTGTTGGCGCTCATCGCATTCTCACCATGAATCCGGTTCCCTCCGCAATGCCCAAGGCTGCGGCTATCCCCGCTCGTCTTCTGCGGACATCGCGACAATGTTCGAGCCAGAGTCCTGCGACCAACTATGTCCGCTCGTCTTCCCATGTCCGGGCCTATCATGCCCCCATGGCTTCTGCTACAGGTCGCCTAAGAGAGTCCAATCCGAACCAGAAGAGACACAATCCGGCGCCTGCTTCGTCAAGGGTACGTTGGTGGTGATGAATTATGTATATAACCGTTGGCTAACCGAATTTTTTTTTTCTTTGCTCATAGACATTCCACTCGACTACTCCCCTCAAGGCAATTTCGGATCCGTACAAGACCCTAGGTGTCGACAAGAGTGCTTCTGCAGGTGACATAAAAAAAGCCTACTATGGATTGGCGAAGAAATACCATCCCGATACGAACAAGGAAGCCGGCGCCAAGGACAAGTTTGCAGAGGCTCAGACGGCTTATGAGATGCTTTCCGACCCCAAGAAGAGAGAAAATTACGACAAGTTTGGTGCTTCTGCGTTCGATCAAAACGGCGGTTTCGATCCGAGTGCCGCGGGTGGGAACCCGTTTTCCGGAGCGGGAGGTTTCGGTGGTTTCGGAGGTGGTTTTGGCGGTCCTTTCGGAGGTGGTTTTGGCGGTGGTTTTTCAGGGGATATCAATTTCGAGGATCTTTTTGGTGCTTTTACGGGTGGCGCACGCCGTTCTGGACGGGGTAGACGAGGCCCCTTCCAGGAAGTATTGGTTGGTGAAGACATCGAGGTGCAGACTAGTATTTCCTTCATGGAGGCTGCGAAGGGCACATCCAGAGATATTGCTATCACTCCCCTAACAGATTGTGGTACTTGCAGTGGTGATGGACTGAAGCAAGGTGCCAAGCGCACCCAATGTCGCCAATGTAACGGGTCCGGAACCCGGGTACACTTCATGCAGGGTGGCTTCCAACTGGCTGCCACCTGTGACGCTTGCGGTGGAGCAGGTCTTACTGTTCCTCCTGGCTCGCAGTGTGGTTCGTGTCACGGTAATGGAGTCGTACGGGATCGCAAGACAGTGCAAATCGATGTTCCCGCTGGCGTGGAGGACGGCATGCGGATGAGAGTGAGCGGGGAAGGCGACGCCCCTCCTACTGGAACCAATGCCGCACCGGGCTCCCGTACCCAGAAGGGTGACCTATACGTATCGATTCGAGTTTCGCCTGACCAACGATTCAGTCGTTCCGGATCCGATATCCTATACACCGCATCGGTCCCCCTCACCACCGCTCTCTTGGGTGGTGAGGTGAATATCCCAACGTTGGACGGCGATGTCAAGATCCGGGTTGCCACTGGCACCGGCACCGGCGAGCGCATCACTCTTTCTGGAATGGGTATGCAGAAACTTGGCAGCCCCCGACGAGGCCTGAAGGGTGATCTGAGGGTGGAATTCAAGGTCGCCATGCCGAAATATCTCACAAGCAACCAACGAACTATCCTGGAGGTTCTGGCGGACGAGATGGGTGACAGGTCGGCGAAGCGAGTTATGGACCTCGGGAAAGAGTAAGTCGTGACATTCCTGTAGTTTCGTATACAGGTAGAAGGGAAGGAGACACTGACAATGTCAATAGCAACCCAACCAGCCCTGATGGCACATCAGGCGGCGACTCTCAACAAAACGAAGGATTCCTCAAATCTGCCTGGCAAAAGCTCATGAACCAGAACAAATCTGAGGGTGAGCAGGGCAAGAAAGATGAAGGCCAATCCGGCGACCAAAACGACCAGAAAGACAAAGATGGCAAGAAGTCCTCGGGTTCGAGTTGAAAAATGCTCTACCATCTAATCGTGACTTTATACTTATGTGTATTTTGGGACATTCTCGGGATGTATTTACGAAACGATATCATAGCGTCGGCGAGCATGGGTGTTTTGATCTTGGGGTGTTGTCCTCTGTACTCATATTGTACTGTACTATATAGACGAAAACATCTCTGCTTCTTATTTGTTATGCCTTCCATAGTAAATATTTGAGCTATATATTGTGCCCGCTGTCATAGATATTAGAACATGCTAGTATACTCCATCCCACGTGCGGTCGACCGTCATACCCCACAACTTCCACCTCCGACCTCACCATCAGCACTTCCCTCACTACCATCACAGCTTCGGCTTCCTCAGTCAACCAGCTCTAGATTCTCTGGTAATACTCATATTCGCCTGTTGCATCCTAGTTTACCTACTAGCAGATCCGTCCGCTTTCCCCATCTCGTTTGAATGGGAGCGCTTCCCGCTCCTTGACGCTCATCAAGATGATTCAATCGCCGATGATCTCGTGTCCTCTCAAGCAAACCAATGAAATCGACTGGATACGACCTCTGAAAGATTACATTCGCCAGAGTTACGGCGAAGACCCTGAACGATATTCACAAGAATGCGCGACGCTCAACCGGTTACGCCAGGACATGAGGGGTGCGGGCAAAGACAGTGCGACAGGGCGCGATCTGCTATATCGGTATTATGGGCAGCTGGAACTCTTGGATTTGAGGTTTCCTGTGGACGAGAATCACATTAAGATCTCTTTTACCTGGTATGGATTAATTGTTGTTTCCTGTGTGGCCGGAAAACCCTCCCTTCCGGGAATACTGCTAACAGGGTTGCGCGCTTGACAATAGGTATGACGCTTTTACTCATAAACCGACCTCGCAATACTCTTTGGCCTACGAAAAGGCTTCCATCATCTTCAACATCTCTGCCGTCCTCTCGTGTCATGCCGCGGACCAAAATCGCGCCGAAGACGTCGGTTTGAAGACCGCTTACCACTCGTTCCAGGCATCTGCCGGCATGTTCACCTATATCAATGAGAACTTCCTACACGCACCATCGACCGATCTGAACCGCGAAACTGTCAAGACTTTGATCAACATCACTCTTGCTCAGGCCCAGGAGGTCTTCTTTGAGAAGCAGGTGGTCGATGGGAAGAAGCCCGGGCTCCTTGCGAAGCTGGCCAGTCAGGCAGCGTACCTATATACCCAAGCGTCAGAGGCTATGCAAGATTATGTCTCTAAGGGCATTTTTGAGAAGGTGTGGTCGCTTGTCATCCAGGCCAAAGCAGCGCACATGAACTCTGTCGCTTCGTACCACCAAGCTTTAGCAGATAGCCAAGCCAACCAGCATGGGATAGCTATTGGTAGGCTCCAGTTGGCTGAGAAGCATTCGAACGTCGCACTGAGCTGGGCCAAGTCGTTTCCGTCGTCTGTCTCTGCAAATTCGAACCTAAGTACTGAGTCGGGCTCCAGTCTCTTGGATCTCATCAAACACCAACTCGCGGTCGTGCAGACCAACCTCTCTACATTCAACAAAGATAACGACTTTATCTACCACCAACCTGTCCCAAATGAAGCCAGTCTGTCAACCGTTGCCAAGCTTCCAGCCGCGAAGGCCATCCCTGTTAGTGAGCTGTATCAGGGTCAAGATATTCAACGAATCATTGGACCAGATATTTTCCAAAAGCTGGTCCCTATGTCTGTCACAGAGACGGCTAGTCTTTACGACGAGGAGAAGGCCAAGCTCATCCGCGCTGAAACGGAAAAGGTCGAAACCGCTAATGGGGAAATGGCAGCCAGTTTGGATTACCTGAAACTGCCTGGCAGCCTCGGTATTCTCAAGGGCGGAATGGATCAGGGGTTGACAGTGGACGACGAATTTCGGCAATGGTGTCGGGAGTTGGCGGGCCACAAGCCATTCACCAAGGACTTCGATGAGTTACAAGAACGCAAGACAGACGTGCTAACACAGCTGGATCATTGCTCCAAACAACTCGACCTGGAAGAAAGTGTGTGCGAGAAGATGCGCTCCAAGTATGGTGCCGATTGGAGTCAGCAGCCAAGTGCCAGGCTGAACACAACCCTGCGTGGTGATGTGCGAACGTACCGCGATACCGTCAACGAGGCCAGTGCCAGCGACTCGCAACTCATGTCCACTCTCAATCAGTACGAGGCAGAATTTGATGAGATAAAAGCAGCCGGAGAAACGGATGAGGCCGATGTCCTTTTCCAGCGAGCGATGCTAAAAGCTGGCTCTAAATATGGAAAGGGCAAGAATGGAATAGGCAGCCCTGCGGCGGAGGGCAACCTGTTGGATGATATTGATGAGGGGGCCCTTTCAGTGGCTGATCAGATTGCTCGGGTTGAGTCAATCTTGAAAAAGTTGAACCTTGTCAAGAGAGAGCGGTCGCAGGTGTTGAAGGACTTGAAGGACAAGGTACTCTCAGTTACTTTAGCGAGGCTTTTGGAAAACAGTAGCTGACTGGCAAACAGGTTCACAATGACGATATCTCGAATGTCTTGATCTTGAACAAAAAATCCATTGCAGGACAAGAAGGCCAGCTCTTTGAGGCTGAACTGGAGAAGTTCCGTCCGCATCAAAACCGGCTTCTCCAAGCGAACCACAAGCAGGCTTCTTTGATGAAAGAACTCACCAAGATCTACGGCGACTTGCTCCAAGACAAGCGAGTCAGAGCCGAGCAATCGAAATACGAGACAATCACACGCCAGCGCAACACCGTGATGGGCCGGTATAAGAAAGTATACGATGCATTCAACGGCCTCCTGTCAGGAATCGTTCAAGCGCAGGCATTCTATACTGAAATGAGCGACACAGTGGAAAGCCTAAAGAAGAATGTCGAAACTTTCATCAACAACCGGAGGTCCGAAGGAGCCCAACTACTGAGCCATATCGAACGCGACAAGGCGAGCGGCTCAGCAGACCAGGAGGATCGAGAACGCGAA